TGCTAACATTTAATGTAAAACATAAAAAATACATATAATTCATATATACTAATTAATTTTTTATTATTATTGCAGAACACATCTCAATGAATAATACGAACTTTTTAATTCCGTTTCCGGTTCTTAAATGAAACGTCATAAAGCGAAATTGTTGCAATTCAATTATATGATATATCTATATATGCATAATTCAAATATAAACGTTTCTATTTTTATTAATATAATTGTTTATCATTATTTGTATTATAATGTATTTATTCTTTTTTCTGATTATTAAAGAAATTTATAATTGTAATTGATTGTTATAGGTTCAATTAATATTATTAAATAATATAATTAATAATAGTATTATTAATAATAATATTATAATATTATTAAATATTATATATACATTTTTAAATAGAAATAATATTTCTATATTTTTTGATATATACATTTTTCAGTTTGTAATAAAAATTTATACATGATGATATTTATCATTTCAAAAACTTAATTACTAATAGTTCCTTATTATAATATTTATTATATTATATTATGTTATATTAATAATTTATAACAAAAGTTAGTCGTAACAATATTATTTATTTGAATAAAGTATTAGTGTTGCTGTTAAGCTAGACTTACTTTGTATAGGGACAAAGAAGCTTTATTAAATTTTTAGAAGTGTTTTCGAATAACAAAGAAAGAAATAAAGGACAAACACAAAAATTTTTTATTTTTAATTTATTGAAATTTGGCTGACCATACAACACTGTTTCGAGTATTGCCAAGTACTCTTCATCAGTGGTGTTTGGAAATAATCGAATTTTATTTAATTAGTTTATAGTCCGTATATAATTTGTTCGGACTGCAAGTGTCAGGCTTAGAACTCGTGTCTGTCAAATTAGAAGCGTTGACTAATCATGTTTATCCACAAATAACCAAGGCTGCACAAACTTTCAATGCTCAAATTCCAGGTTTTGTCACTTATAACGAGCTTATAAACTACAGCTTTATTTGGAAAAACCAACCAAAGCACTTGCCGTGCTTTAAATTAGAACGAGCTTATAAACTACAGCTTTATTTGGAAACACAAGTTCGTTTCAAATAAAGCTGTAGTTTATAAGCTCGTTCTAATTTAAAACACGGCAAGTGCTTTGGTTGGTGTCACTAATTAAATAATAATAAGTGACAAAACCTAGAATTTGAGCAATGAAAGTTTGTGCAGCCTTGGCTATTTGTGGATAAACACGATTAGTCATCGCTTCTAATTTGACAGGCGCGAGTTTTAAGCCTGGCACTTGCAGTCCGAACAAATTATATACGGACTATAAACTAATTAAATAAAATTCGATTATTTCCAAAGACCACTGATGAAGAGTACTTGGCAATACTCGAAACAGCGTTGTATGGTCAGCCAAATTTCAATAAAATTAAAAATAAATTTTTGTGTTTGTCCTTTATTTCTTTCTTTGTTATTCGAAAACCCTTCTAAATATTATTTATTATTAAAAAATTTATGTTTTTAGTTTTATTTTTTAAATTTTTCAATTATAATTTTATAGTGAATGCAATTATTGTTATAAGTTTTTTTTGTTTTATTAATTTAATGTTATTAAGACAATATAAAATTAATTAATAATTTAATTCCATTATAAAACATTTTTAATATTTTGTTAAGCTTTTTATTATTATTTTTAATTATTATAATCATATTATTTCACATATTCCAATCAAGTATAGTACTGTACTCAACAGTAATAATCCTACTAACATCAGAAAACTGGATTTCGACAGTCCAGTTCAGCATTAAACCCGCTAAAGGCTCCTCCAAACCAACAACTGTTAGCATTTTATGTCTTGATACTCTCCATTGAATTTCAATATAGATCCTGGACAATCATGCTTTTGGTACAATATACATTATTTTTTGTTATCTTTTCCTTGTCCAGGTATTTAAGTTATTATTTTAGTCAGACATTCCCCCATTATTTCTAAAGAATGCGTTAAAGCATTGACTATTCTATAAATCACAAATTATGTATCTATTATATAAAATAGTCAAGCACCGATTTCTGTCGTTCTTTAAATTGAAGTTTCTTATATTCAAGTACATTTTATTTGTGCTTTTACTGTATTTAACAATAATAATTCGAAATAACTTGTTTAGTCGTAAACTTTTTACGAAGGTGGTCAATTTAACATATCTTTGAAAAAGTTAAATTATTTATTCTGATGTCTAAAATATCGTTTATAAATTATAATAAATTGCTTGATCGCCATTCTTAGAAATTCTCAACGACGCAAAAGATTAATTAAGAACCTACCTTGGCTGAAGCCAGTAACCCGCTTTTTATACTATTTCTAGTATGCGACGCATATCAATTATATGCGATTATCGCAATATAAAATAAAAAAGATGTGGAAACAAAATTGATTCAAGAAAAACTCTTTCAATAAAGAGTATCAAGAGCATCAATAATAAATTAAACATATATTGACTATAGCCAGAAGCTATTACTTTAATAGCTATAGCATTATAGTAAATTTTGAAAAATAATTTAAAGGGTTCATAGCAACCTGTGCTATCCTTTATTATAACAATATGATTCAGTAATATCAGCTATATGCTAAGTAGAAATTAAAAGTAGTTCCCACATATAGCATGAGCTTGCAACGTTTGAAATAATAAAATATAATTTATTAATGTTACAATGAGAGACGAAAGGAATGTGTAGAATATTATATTTTATGTAAGTTAATCTCTTAAATTTATATTATTAAAGTGAAATTCAGTATGATCCATTGGAGAGATAACTTATTACAAAACGTAACTGATGATAAACGACATAAATACCTGGCTTACTCCAATAGACAGAGCTCTAATAATAATATAATTATGCTCTTATCTGAACAACATAAGACACTCGCTATAGTCATCTATATATGATGATGATAATTATGAATATATTCGTACTTCTTGCATCGAAAAGGCTTGAAGACTTTCATACAGATACCGTTTAAAGACAATTGCTAACCCAAAAACATTTACTAAGACATATCGGAAATATGAGCAATAAATATAAAATCATTACAATTTTAATGTTAAGTCCGTAGGTGTATATGTTAAAATACCAAACATATTAAAATTGAAATAGCGTTGTATGGTCAGCCAAATTTCAATCAATAAATAGAATAAATTTTTTGTCCTTGTCTTTTCTTTGATATTCGAATCTGTCTAACATTTAAATAGTTTCTTTTCGTCATAAAGACGCATCACTCTCGGTCAAAAAAAATTACCATTAATCATTGTTTTCTATATTATAACTATTTGAATAATTATTAAAAAAATTTATTGTTGCTTAGATTTCAGATAATATAATTATTTAAAATTGATTTTAGTTAAATTATTTATTAATATATTTTTAACATTTATGCAAGTCAATGGTTAAAAATATTTTTTTTTGTTTATATGAAATATGAAAACAAATTAAAATAAATGAATAAATATTAAATTTTAACAATTTCACTTTATGAGTTTTCCAAATGTTATAAAATATATTAAATTTGAACAAATTTATATCTACATAAATTATTGGTTTCTATTTAATTACATTAACTATTACATCAAACTATAAATATTTATACTATAGTATTAATTTTTCGATATACATATATATATTTATATAAACTTTATTTTTTAAATATTATAAAAAATGACTAATGACTAACAACAACAACGACCACGACATTTAAAAAGAATCAATAAGTTTTGTTTTAAATTAGCAATTTTTTTTTTAAAAACATTTAATAGATACATATATTATTTATATATGTGAATATAATAAATAAATATATATTATATATATATAAACTGACACATACTAATGTATATGCAGATAGTTTAATATAATTTGTAATTTCATATTAAAATAATAAAATAGCGCTATAGAAAAATATATATGCTTAGATTGCTGCATCAATCTAGGAAAAGATCTATTTAAATTGTTAAAATTTATTGTTAAAAAGTGCCATATTTACAATTTTAATAAAAATTAAATTCCAAATGAACTCTGATTATATATATTATTAAGGATTTCCAATTTACATATGTACAACTAACAGCTAATGAAATTTTATCACATTTACAAATACCAATGAAAAGGTTTTCCTAATAAATAATTTATTTCTAAATGATGAAGGAAATAATAGTCCAGAGATGGGTAGAAAAGTTAAAGGATCATTTTTAGTAATTATTTTTACTTAGTTTTAGTCAAGAGAAGTGATTTAAGAGAATCTTATATAAGGAGTTGAAACACATAAGGACTTCCCATATATTGAAACTGTGATAATAATTTAATAGCATTTCTTATAAAGTACATTTATTGAACCTATTATTTGGTCAAATATTTAAAATTATTTATGTACTATAACTTACTATATATCGTTTACTTTTTATAAATCACTGGAACATTGGAGTTGAAGATAGTTATTGCAATAATGAAATAATGGAATTAGATATTTGTTATATATCTGTAATTTCAGTGAAGGATTTTGGTTGCATGATAGCTTATTCAAGAATATTAAATAAAATTATTTAAAATAAAATTTAAAAAAATTAATCATTTTTATATACAAACCCTACGACTGTGTCTACTTGATTTTCAGAGTTTTTTTTTTGTATTTTATTTACTGGTAATATATTGTGTATTTTTCAGGTCCTGATGGTAACTGCTGATAATAACCGGATTACTGGTTAATAATACAGGTTTTGCAATAAAATTGATACAAAATTATTCAAAATAAAATTACATTATCTTGACTTTGAGATAATGTAATGAAGATACCTATATGGAATTTTTAATAGATCTTCTTAGTCATCATTTATTTTTTTGTTCTCAAAAATGTTACAAAAGAGTTTTTTAATAATTATTTTAAGGTTCATATGGTGTTAAAGAAATACTTTAGCTTTTAAAAATTTTTAATATCTCGTAAACTACAAAAAATTTCAGAAAGGTTTAATAGGTATTTATTGTTTTTAATGTTGCGTCTATGGATCCTAACAGTACTTATACTTAAATAAATTTTAAATGAATCTAAACTATAAGTTAAACCAAAAAATTAAAAAAATTAAAAGAAAGAAAAAGAGAGAAAAATCAGAAAAGCCATATATCAATAAAGGGCCCGATTTAAACATTAAGATTGATTTAATAGTTATCAAGGAAATTCTGTATTTTTATTTCTAAACGTTTATTTTTGAAGATAATTAGTCATATTTGACATAAGAGGGTTAACAATTGGATATATTGGTAAAAAAAAGCAATAGGAATTTATAGGTTCCGTTTACTATAACTAATGTGAAGGTCTGAACTGATTTCGTGTTTGCATTTGGCAACACTGTTTCTTTGAGATAACATATCTTATAAAAAACTGTTATCCAAGATATTATGTCTTCACCTTAACGTTTCACAATATAAACCAAGCAATACTTGGAAGATACACATATTCGGTGCTTGAGCAATACCGCTTGATTTTTCGAATCAAGTTTTCTTAGGGATGAGGCTTATATTTTGTTTAATGTATGTGTCATCACACAAATTCGTTTTCTGGTATCTGGAATAATGAGAAACCACAAGTAACTGTTAAAACACATTCACAAGAATTCATTTATGATAACAATTCATCTGAAGGTGTGACAGACTTGCACTGTTTTAAAAATGATGTGATGCTATTACTACAGTCACAAAAGATTATCAATTTTTTATTCTGACATAGATATAGAGATACATATGTGAATAATATGTGGTTTCGATAACACAATATCAAAATGCTATAATGCCACAATGCCATACAATACATATATATTTTGGATTGTTGCGTGAGGAAGACCTCAGATATATCATTACACGTTTTAATGTAGGTGTCAAACGGTCTTCAAGGTTATGCGATTAGTCAAACCAGGACTTTTGTGTTGTTTTGTGGGGTTACTTAAAAGATCTCTTTTAAGCGGACTATACTCAAGGTCTTGAGAATGAATGAATCCTTAGAGTTATAACTAAGTTATTGCCAGAAAATTACTACAGAGGAATACAGTGCTGTGTAAGTTATTTAAGTGATGTTGTACTTCACCCTTAACGGTAAGGTGCCTATACCTTATAATGTATAGAGATGAAAGCTAGACCGAAGTCGACTGTGTATCTAGTAGGTACGTAGTTTAATGACAAGTTTACGTCATTTAAGTTTACTTTCGGAATTATAAAACTGATCATTTTCAAATTTATATGTGTACTTGCCAAGTTATACAGTACAAGCATTCTGTCTTATTCCTATCGTCTTAGCTGATAGATAAGGTTAAGTTTTATTTAGATCTTGAGCTGGGGATTCGTAAAACTCTAAAGAATTGCTTAAAATGTTAATATTAAAAAATTTGGACTTCAATGTTCTACTTGTACCTTTCGTTTCTTTAATTTAAGAAATTTTAACATGAAACACATATGTAAGGTTATAAAACATTAGAATAAGAGTCTATATTTTTGGTGTCTTATTTTAATCAGAAGGTATATATTAACAGAAAAATAACCATATATTTGTACTGGGAAAAATATGATAATCTTAAGTCGTACCAAGCGATCTCTTTTGTCGTACTTGCCGTACATAAAAGAAATATCATACACTATAGGTGTGAACAGCATACACCACGTAACTTAATTTACTTTACAATTTTACTTAATAAATACTTTAAAATCTGTTCGCTATAAATTCTTGAACTCAATTACTCGATTATTAGTTGTAGTAATTTTTTAATTTTTCCTCGTTGGTTCGATTTTTTGCGACATTGCGGTTAGGGCGCGTTGATTGTCAATGACACGTAAGCAGCTAATGTACGAGCGAACTTCACCCTCACTTTTAGGTGATGGCGGCTCAAGACCTGTAACGATAAAATTGAAAATTAATAATGTTATATATATTTGCACTGAAGTATGTTGCACTTACCTAAACTACGAGACCGACAAAAGCGTATCGTACGCATCGTTTGTGCCATCATATGCATTTTCTCAAAATTCACCAAACCATCTAGACTGGTTTTATTGCCTTCGTGCGCGAATGTCATATCCTTGAGCAATAGTGGCATAAATGGAATTACTGGTGGTTGCAATTTACCCACGAAAACCCTATATGCGCGATGGTTACGACTAGGATCGATGAGTGCTTCGAACTCTTGAAATAGTTTACGAAATTTCGATGGTATTTTATCCCAGGTCTGTTGTAGACGTGAAACGGCCATATTTGATAATCCCATTACAATGGCAAAGAAAGCATTCAAATTTTGGTACTCCTTGCAGCTGTAATTACACATCAGTAGGAATATGCATTAAAGTGGATTTTTAATTGAACAAAGATTGCTTTTCAGTTCTGCAGCAACATAAATTGAAAATCGAAAGGCTTGAAAGCCAATCGATAAAGTAAAACAAAGTGAAATTCAATACACAACATACACATCTCACTGCATATTCTGGTACGGATATGTGCGTGAGTGAGTATCTGGAGTATGGAAAGCACTCATTTGTATCTAAATTCACAATTAATCTACTACGCTTCGTAAATACAAGTACAAAATTTAGTTTTAATGAAACTTACTATGCAGCTAATTTAATGAATTTTCTTAGTAGCCCAACGCGTTTACTCATGCTGGGAGTGGAAACAATTTCAGATACAATCCAGTACTGCAGCTCATTAAACCGTCGTAGGAATACATCAAGGTTGGAGGTAATCTAAATAAAAAATTATTATTTAATTAGTTCCTCGTTGAGTACTAAAAAATCGCTTTAAAGTAATTTTATACGAAGAAATTTCATTTATTTAAAGGGACTTAATATGTTAAATATATATAGTATATATAGTATATATATGTATATATAGTTGATTAAATTGGTTTTGTTAATTCATTTTCATTATAAGTTATCCGTATAAATAAATTTTTCTAATATTATGAATAAAATAGAATATGATTTCTTATAAAACACTTATGTTACTTTTTACTTTTGTGATATTACAGAAATCTAGAATTATATAGAGAATCTTACAATTTGGACTTCAAGATTTTATCGCAGCTAGTAATGTATGCGAATTTCAATTACAGATCCTTAACATTTAATAGATGTATAATCTAACATTAATGTTAGATTAGTCTAATAAATTAATAGATGTATAATCAAATATATATATTAGATTAATCTAATAGATTAATATATCTTATGATCAAAAATGAAAGCGTTGGAAACTTTGAAATCGTTGTAACCAGCAATGTACAACCTGCAATGGTGCGAAATCACAAATACCATGTCGAAATCGTTGGACAGCGTTGGAAACGTTGGGATCGTTGTAACCTTTGGGAATCGTTGGAGTTGTCAAAACCAGCAAGCCCAAACCTGCAATGGTGCGAAATCACGAATGGAACGAAAGCCAGAATTTGTCTCCTCCACTGCAGGAGACAACGCATCATTTTGAAGCATACAAAGTGCTGTTTTGCACCATAATTCTACTATTGTAAGCGATAAGGAATATTTTGACTAAACAAGGTGCTGTTTTGCACCAAATACTAGCACTGAAAGCGACAAGAGACATTTTACACAAAGTGTTGCTTTGAAGCAATTGAGTTTTACATAAGGAATTAATTAAATTTTAACAAGTAAATTTTAAAGCTCATTCTATGTCATTTTCTCTATATTTACTTTTATTATTAATTTAATTGGTGGGGGTTGAATTTTTAACGTTAAATTTGATCCTTACAATATTCTTCTGAATTTTTTTTTCAAAATATTTTGTTTTTATTTTGCGATCCCGTTTTTCCGAGTTCATCGATTTAAGGATTAACTTCTTTCATTACGGTATTTGTCAATATAGTTTTCTTCTTCAGATATCGACAATTTCTTAACTCTTTCTATTTCTATTGACACGCCATCTATTGTCAACTTCCAAATGTATCATTAATTTATAAATAACAGGAATTTTGACTAAAATTCACATCCGATTTGGATTAGTTGATAAATTTTTAAAAATAATACCTTTTAAAAATCAATTTTAGAAAAGAATATTGATTCTTTAATTACCCGTTCTTATTAGTATTTATTTCAATACAAACATTTTCAATTGTATAAACTATTTATTGGAGAGATCTCGAAAAATAGTGAACTATAACGATTAAAATTCTCTTTATATTATTTTAATTGATTGTATTTCTGGCTGACTATACAGCTGTTTCGAGTATTGGCACAACCAATAGTTTAAACAATAGATAAGAGAAGTGACAATTTGAAAATTAGTCTTGAATGGAAATTCTTAAGCACCCGTATCTCCAAGACGCTTTTGCTTATTTTTGATGGTTTTTATATAAAAATTTCTAACTTTAACTTTAACTTTCTAACTCTCAATATCCCATAAACTAAGTTTTATTGACATGTGGCGTAAACGGAAAAGTTTTTCAAAATAGTTGTCATTTCAAAAGTACATATTCATAAAGTCATACTCTAGGCAACAGAATCCTTCCGTTTTCACTCTTTTCTCATGTCACAATATGTTAAAAAATAAAAAAAAACGGTATCTTTATTTCATATTATGAAATATACTAGATTGCCAGCTAGTGGTAAATAAAATTTCTTTATTGCAAAGCACAAGACGATATTATTTCCAACATATGATTAGGCAACAGTCCCTGGGTGCAGTAGCTGACGACTCTCGCTATAGTTACACTATGTTGAATACAGTATCCAGTGTTTGTTGCTCAACGTGGATAGTGCTATGAAATGGATTTGCTCAACTACATTTTTTCTAGGTACTAACACTAGCCACTGCAATTTAATCATTAGGTACAGCAAATTGATAGATAGATTGATATTGTAATAAAACAGAAACAGTGAAAACTGCGCTTCATAAATATTTTCAGCTTAGATTAGTGGTCAGAGAATACTGTTTAAAAATGTCTATATTTTATGTAAAAAGAGACTAATAACAAATTTAGAGCGCTTGGAGATATATGTGATAGAATTACTTACCTGAGACCGGAAGCTTTTAACAATTTTTAAAAATTTTAAAGTATTTTCAGATACTTGTTGCAAAAAATACTGAACATGTATTACAGTGTGGGTTAAATATGGTTAGGATATTAGTCTTTTGCACTAAAACTCATTTAAGAGACGTATAAGACATTTATTTTTACGTCAGATCTAAAAAATCTCCATAAAGCTAGTGCTTAACGAAATACTAAATTAATGCTGCTATTATATTCCTGGACATATAGTTCAGTATTCCATGACTACAAACTAAATAATACCGTCTTGACATACTTAGAGTATACCTTTAAGATCACGTGACTCCCCTATCCAAGCAGAAAAAAATCAATCTGATTAGTCTATCAACTTGGTCAGTATAAAGTAAATATTGAGTCATATCATTTTATATAAGGAAAATGGCTAAATCGGATGGGCGATAGACACCCTAAGTACTAAAATTTTTGAAGTCGAATAACAAAATGAGTGAGGTTGCAATACCTTTGAAATTAGATTTATTAGATTTTCAAATATATTGATTTGAGTTTATATAAATTATTGGCCATAATGTTCAAAAGACGGTATTAGAATATATACGTAAAGAGAAAATATAACGAATATTAAACAATAAGAAATAATAAAAATAAATTTTAGTGGTTGAGCTCAGATGAAGTGTTTTTAATGAGAGATAAAATTTAATAAAATAATTCTTGGTACTTGCAGTCTCAAAAAATAATTATTTACGAATAATTAAATACAAGAATTATTTCCAAGACCACTGATGATGGGTATTTGGCAACACTCGAAACAGCTGTATGGTCAGCCAAAAATTCAATTAATTAAAATAATACAAAATGAATTTTTGTTGTTGTAGTTCACTACTGTTAAAAAAAACCTCTTTATAAAATAATTAATTAATTTCTGGAATTATATTTTAAAATGGAATGGAAAAGAGTACATGGAAAAATTTCATGAGGAATTTTAATAAACTTCTTTCACACATCTTCTACTATATACGTATACCATAAAAAATAAATTATTTTTATATATATGGAAAATAAAAAAAATTAATACACGGATGCGAGAAAAATAAAAATGACTTTTTAATTTTTTTTCAAAATTCTTTTCCATTAAATTCAATAAATAAAAATATTCAATGCAATATAATTTCCCAGAGGAAATTTGCGGTTTTTTCGATGTTTGCCTGTCTGTGCATCCTGCAACCACATGTGCACATTATTTCATGGAACAGTGCATTGTACGTCCAGGATTATGATGGCAGCATTTATTTAGCATGGAGTTAAGCACTTGTTAGCATATATTGTCATATCGTCGAAGGACTTTGTTATGAAATTGCGCAAATCAACTGGAATTTGTATAAAATACCATAAAAACGCATGTAAGAACTTGATTTACCGCTCATATAGGATGTACTTGCATATTAATTTTTCCATTTACGGCTTCCGCAAGGACTCAAATACAGCATTTTCAATGGCTTTTAAGTACATCCTTGGAGTTTCGCATACATGAAATGTACTCTAACCGCAAATTGAATTTTTGCTTTAGTTGTCTAACTTTTTTAAACAAAAAATTATTTACTCGAATATCTGCAACTAAGTTTAAACTTTAAATGAACTTTCAAATTTTCTATTTAAAAGTTAACTCCTTGTACACATACATACGAGTGCATATATATTAGCAGTGAAGTGAGCACTCAATATATTGGATTAAATATAAAATATAACAAAACGTACAAGGATCTACTCTGCTCCATTACTGCTATGTACATTTTTCTCTAATATTAAGAATATTCATTTCGTTCAAGCATATACGATAAAGGAGTTTTCATCCATTTTCTCTACATATTATAATTATGAAAAGGCTCTCATAAGCTCTTAGAAAAGCTTTTACTTTATTATCACATTGTAATTTTTAAAAAAAATTTACTTTTATTTATTTAATAAATTCACTTTATTCTGAACTTATTATGAAAATATTCTAGATAATTTTTCTGGTAGAATGTTTTTACAAATTATTTAATTTTTTATTATAAAATAGAGAAATGTGGGAAAAAATTTTATTAATTTGAAACATGAGCACTTAAATGCTTAATAGTTCCATTTTGTTTAACAAATTCATATTCACTTAAAAAATTATTAAATCAAATTAATTATTTGTTATTTATTTAAAGTCCTTAAAGTCCAAATGATGATGCACTTCACACAAAATAGAATTGTTTTAAAATTTGAAGTAGTCTATGGTAGATACCACAAACACTTCACTTAATAATAAATTATTTAATTTTCAATATATTACAAATGTTTTGAACTCGTTTAAATATTTCACTATAAACATTTAACGTTTTATATAAATTGTATAAAATATTTTAAACTTAATTACTTCAGCCATAGCTTCAATATTTCAATAAAGTTCAAATTGCTCAAAATTGATATAAATTTTTGCATGACTTCCTCTATGAGTGCCTAATGGCCATTGCGAATTTAAAATATTTTGAAATTGTACACATAAATTACTAATATTATATGTTCATATGAATATATGCACATGAATATATTAATAAAATATTTACATGGAAATTGAAAATATTTCAATTACCTTGCCAAAGTGATGACGGCCGAAGGTGTGATACAATAATTCATATTCGTGCACTGCCCAAAACAGATCCCAATCGAATAATGTTATATAGTAAGCTATTTCTTTGGTGCTTAAAATTTCTAAGTCCATTTCAATTCCCTCCGTTGGACCCTCTTGTTCCGGTAAAGGAGTCTGTAAATATTATACAATAAGTTTTCACTCTTCCTTTTCAACATTAAAATATAACCTACCAAGGCATCTAAATGATCCTTAACTGAAACAAAAAGGCGTCCATTTAAACTTAAGCCCGTAGGTATGCTAACATCGTTATCCTTAAAGACGCAACGTTCACCATTTGATTTAACTTCCACCATAACCAAGTCATCAGGACCTCGATTTAATTGTAGTTTATCTGCTGCACAGGCTTTGACTAATTCGGCGGTTGTATGAAGAGGAAAACGTAATGTGCAGTAAGTGTGGTCAGCACAATATACCCGAAATATTACTAATAAATTAAATAAAGAAAAAGTAAATATAAGAATCTTTTTAATATTTTATTAAAATCTAAATAATTTGTTATAAAAGAATGAAATAATTTAATTAAAAATATGTGGTTTATATTTGCTCATAGCCTAGATTAGTTGTGAAATCGCTGTATGGCTACTTTATGTCTTGATGCTAGTGAAAGTAGAGTTTTGGATATAAATTTAAATTGAAACTTAATATTTTGAGAAAGGGATTATTTTTGGAAAAGCCTAGAGTTGTTAGTTAATGGATTTCATTCCTATTTTTTGTTTAAGAAACCTGATAACTTATATATAATCTCTTTTTACTGTCGCAAAACTATATTTTTACCTGATGTTAACACTCATGCAGTTCATTTTATAAATTTTTTTTGTTAACTTACTATCATCATCTGGTCGTATGACAGTTTTCGATGGTGTAGCATTACCACTGAACAAACAGATTGGTTGACCATTGGGTGGTAGTTTCCATTTCTGTCCAGCATTCTGATTACGATCTTCTTGATAACGTGCCATTTGTGTTAATACATTATGTATAATACTTGTTTCTTCGTGTAAATCTGGATCAGCTTCAATTTCTGCAGCTAAATCCTGATAACATAAAAAAAAAACAAAAACATAAAATGTTAAATATAAGCATTATGTATTTTAAAAGGTATGTATTGAGAATTACCTCTATAAAATCACAGACACTGGGTTCTTCAAAAGCCGCATGACGCACAGCCATAACCCACTTTTGCATAAAATGTACGACGCGCTTCTTGAAATTTATTATGTATTCCCGATCTTCGGGAGTATGCGAACCATCATTGATATCACAGTGAAAAGTGCAAAGGAGTTAAGGATTTTTTTTGATATATGCATATATGTTTGTATATAAAGTCAAAAATCAATAATGCAATACTTTATAAGTGTATTGTTAGTTTTTTTTTTACTTTTTTTATTATTTTTTATTTTTTATTTATAATTTTTTTTATTAAATTTTTTTTTTATTTTTGGTAATATTGCGAAATAAATAGTATTTAATTAAAGTAATATACATTGCTGACACAGCTTAAAAATATATTGACTACTGTTTTAAAAGCTAAATAAGAGGCACCTTTTTTGTAGCGGTTGAGAAAGAAAATGTCTTCACACATCTATAGGAGCGTCTTACTATTGGTAGTGCAGGGTTCGCGATAATACCCGCTGATCCCCTAAAAACTTCTAATTTTCTAAGATTAGGTATATCACCCGGAACCACAATGACACACAACAATATGAGGTAATAATATAGAGAGCTTCATAGATCTTTTTATTTAAGGATAATTTAGTTGATCTACATATCTTGTGTGTGTGTGTGTCCTATGCTTAGCAACCAAGAGTAATTATCGATTATAAAATTGTCATAGATACTAAGGGACACTCATAGATACTACACATACATAGATATTAATATATAAATATTTAACTAATACCACTGTCATAATTTAGGTTAGGTTAGGTTAGGTTATATCAGCGATCTCAAGGGATTTACTTAGGTCGGAAGGCCATTGTGCTATCATATTATTAAAAACTCAAGGGTTAAAACTATCTTAAAACTTTGGCAAAGCTTATGATGCTATTCAGAGGGAGGACCTGAAGTTCGCCAAGGTCCTCGAAAAGAAAGCCCATAAAGTATTAAAGCGGTGTCATGTTATAATTTATAAAACAGAAATATTTGAAATTTATTATAGACGATTTTAGAAGATTAAAACACTTAAAGACTTTTTGGATGATATATGCATGTGATGATTGAACTTGCTGAAATTTGAAAGACGTAGTGTATTCAATTATATACATATAATATAGTGGTTTATATGTATTGAATGGTTTTAAATTTTTCTATAAAAAATATGCCTTTAATTAATAAATAATTACAAATAAAGTATTAGATTCCAATTAGTTACTTAGAATAAAGTAATACGGATTAACAAAGGCATGAGAAGATAATGTAGTTGGTTTCCATCAGTTTATCCAACACAAAGCAGTAGAATAAAGTTAAAAGGCATGCGGAACCAAGGTGTATAGTTTCCATAGGCTTATGAGGCCAAAAGACATGAGAAAGTCATAGTGACAGTTACATACATTAGGTAAAATCAATTAAAACCTTCAAAAATGTTGCTATTTCAGTGAAAACAGTCATTGGATTCACTTCTATATAATTAAGTAATAGGACAATTGAACTAATGGATGGTGCCATGAGTTTTATAGTTGCATTTAGGACACATAGCAAAATTGAAAGGAGTCTTACGTGACAAGTAACTACTTATCATACCTCTGTCCTTTGTTATAATTTCGGATTAATAGCTTTTATGCAGTTGTGTTACTTCCTACAAGCTGATAGATGTTAGCCTATTGAGACGTCAATTACTATAAAGATGAGATTTTAAACAGGATTCTGTTACATTGCACTCTTTAATATGATAATAGCTTTCATTAATATTTCTTAATAAGAATTTTTTATAACCATTTCTCTAGATTGTTGTAGTTTTGGAATACTTATTACTGATGACTTGTCAGTGATGATCTATCTATGTTACCTTTCTTGTATTGTATTGTAAGATATCTCTTGCTGATATAATCTTAAGTATAATGCTTAAGATGAGAAAGCGTTTTGTTATTTTCTGACAAACTAAAATTAAGTTTTCTTCCTGTTGTAATTACAAAAACGACGTGATTGGATTTGGTACTTTGTATTACAAAATCCCTAGATTAAAGTATGGGGAAGTAATTTTAATAAACTTTTTATGAGGTTTTTTTCACGAAAAGTCTTATTTCCTGTTCCTTTTGTATTTCTCACAAATTTATTTTTCAAGTTTTTACATTTCCACAGATTAAACTTAAGTGAAACTTGCTTTAATATCCAAGCCAAAAGTTGGACTACTGCAGTTTTTACTTCATTTAAATGCAAATAAGTGAATCCTTACTGTAGCAACTGTTTGCAATTGTTTGGTTAGTAATTTGTTTTGTTAGGAATTGGAAAATTTTACCATTGAAAGTGTGTTCTTTTCATTACTGAAGTCGAGTACAATTGTATTCTGTGCACGATTTAAGTGAAATATACACAACTTCCAATTGTGAAATTTTCAAATCTCAAGAAATAAAACAACAAATAATATGAACAGTTGATAAATAAAGTAAAGTTACTGAAGTCAAGTAACAATCACAATAGTTACGAAATCACTACAAAGTAAGAACTGGTATATTATATGTATATTGAATCAACACTCAACATAATAAGCATCACATGAGAGAAGGTTAAAGGTTTATTATTTTTAAAAACTTATTTCGATCTGAAATATTGCTCAAAAAATATAAAAACTTGATTAAGTGTGGAGTGTGGAATTATTTGGAATAGTGTCCCAAATGATTCAGCAATCTTACTTCTTCAAAAGAAAAGACTTAACTGACTTCTGTGGATGTAATGATTTATATGCATTGCTTCATATTATGACTTTATTGAACTGATTAATACCAGATTAATTTGAGCTTTCAGGAATGATCAATAAAAGCAAAGGTGACACCATTACACCATTATTTAGTTGAATGTACAACAGAAGAAAGTTTTTTGCAATATGTTAATAAGGAAATTTTTTAAGCCAAGAGCCCTTTTTTTTAAGCCTTTAATCACAAATACTTTTTAAGTAAAATGATAAAGAACATAATGTATCATCACTGTAATATCGCAACTGTACTGTACTAATGATAGGATACCCTGTAATTTTATTTATATTTCAAACTCAAAGAAGAATGTTTTTGAGAAACAGTTGAGAAGTAGACGAAATCATGTATCAGATCTAAACAATATTTTCCAAGCTAGAAATTATGGTGGCATAAGAACGTAGTATCAAAGGGGGACTACTTTAAAAGAGATGGACTGACAATTCAAAATTCAGTTTATTTTAATACCAATATAAGTATAACTTATCTTAAGTAACTAAATAAGCACATATATTGCTAGTTAATATTCTATTAAAAAAGTGGCTTCATATAGGAAATCATATATAAAAGCACATATAGAAAATCTTTGAATAATACAAAGAGAATAAGACAGTTCTTTTCTAAAATGTTCGAATACAACTATTGAAGATCAAATAAATATATTTAAATAAAAAGGAAAAATGTTCGTAACCTCATATACCCGTCAGAGATTATTCTGGTTAGCAACCTACTTAAATCATATACATTTTGAAATACGAATGCATGTTCAAAAAAAAAAAAATATTTTATTTAAAAAAATATTTAAGTTTAATAACTATATTTAACTTAAATACAGAAATTTGAAAATTCTCGAATATATTCAAGTATAGTATGTGTAGTAAAAAAGTTGGAAACTACTCACTAAAGGCTAAAAACATCATATCGCCAAGCAATAAATCAAAACTAAACTTATAGTGTGTTTAGACTATGATACTTAGCACTATTATGTGATTATCTCAATTAGTGTGTAGTGTTCAGTTATATTATCTATACAGAATGTACACACAATTCATGCAAAAATTTATAAGATAAGTGCGCATTTATTTTTTAAGTTCATTGGCTTAGTAAATGCTGCTTCGAAAAATTTCTCTATGAGAATTACAAATGTAAGTTTTGATGAAAATAAAGAGAAAATAAAACTGCGAATCATATTTCAAATAAAAAGCTCTATCAAATTTAGAAAAAAAATTTATAAGTTAATGAATTAATCATAAAAATTTATATAATTAAAAAATTCAAAGCAGAGAAGAGGGAATGGAATTATTTCAATATTTATGTTAAAAAATTTAACTCTAAAGAATGAGAAAATATGCAAATCATATTCAAAAACAAATTTAAAAAAATAAGTAAGTTTTCGTTTATCTTTTATTTTGCTCTACTCTAAACTCTGAACCTTTAAGTGTAAACATTTAAAAAGTGTAAACACTTAAATTTTTGATAAGCAAAAATTAGTGACTCATGTAATATAAGCAGAAGTCAAAATATACTATTCTATAGATTATTATTTATTACATGTTTTGATATTAAATTCCGATGACATATTCTGATGTCATACATCAGAATATATCGGATATCATATTCCGATGTCGCATGTACTCAATAACTGATATTCTGGTTTTCATACAAACAGGAGAAAGTCTTCTGTTCAGTTAGATTTGAAGAATATGTTTAAGAATCTATAAAAAAATTAATAAACAATAACTAAAATCTTAAAATTATTAAAGTAAAATTATAAAATATCACTATGGTTTTTTTTTTAAATTGCTATTTTCATATATTTTATATTAATAAAATATATTAAGTATTTAAGAACTAGAAGGGAAACCGTAACTCTTTAAAAGTTTAATATTTCAATTTATGAACAACTTTGTCTGAACAAAATCCTCTTAAGCAAAATAATCACTGAAAGTTTTTACTACGGCGCTACTCTTGCAACTAAACAAAATAATGACCTGTACGTGGTGACCTAAAGGAATTAAGTAAATACATACTTCATCGGGTAATATGAAAGGCTGAGGTTATTTAAAATTCTATTCAGTGAAGTATTATACCATAATTTTACTATGTTACCTTAAGATAGATATAAATTTGTAATTTGTTTGAAAAGGATATTAGTTCGCCAATTCATCCACTAACTGCACAACTGGCATGAAAACTATGTGCGTTAGTAGGAAGTCATCTAGGAAGGGATCCATACCACTCACTTGACTACCGAGACGTGTCTCAAGTAAATGCTCCAGCATTTTTGATGGTGTGCCAGACATGACAGTGTATCTATAAGAAGAACATTTATTTGAAATTATAAAGTGAAAAGTAAAAAAAATACGAGTAAATAAAACCAAAATAATAAATTAAAAAATGTAATATTAAGTAAACTTTTCGATTTTAAAATATCTTCAATTATACAAAATAAATAATGATAAAAATGATTTTAATTTATTAATTTATTTATTTGCCATTTCGTGGTCGCTGTGGTTGAGCAAAGTGAAATGTTAATGTAATTGCTTTGCGGTTAAAAATTAAATGTTTAATTAAAAATATTAACTAAAAAACGAATGCTTAAAAGTATTAAAAAATTAACAAAATTGATTGTAATTGTTACAATTAATAGAGTTTGAAGAAAACTTGTAACGACACTGGAATGTTATTGTTATTCACTAAAATTTTATATTTACCAAAAACATAATAAGCTTGGTTAAATATTTGTACCATAGTTTCTTGTTATAATAAAATACAGGGTTAGACGATTGAAGTGTTACCTATTCAAACGACCATATCTCTTTTGTGTTTTGTAATTGATTCAAATTATTAAAATTGATCAAAAGTTCAGAACCCATTTACTCTTGCACGATGTGGTCACCTTTTGATTTGACTACGGCCTTCAAACGGTTAAAAAATGAGTAGCATGTTTCACGAATGCAATCTACCGGTAATTGGGTCATTCTTGAACAACGGCTTTCTTCAGCGCATCCATACCGTCATAATTTTTTGTCCTCACTTTGCTCTCCAATCTGGTCCAGATTTATTAGTCCATCTGATTTGCATCTGGCAAATTCGAAAGTCATGGTGTTGACGAAATAAAGTGTGCAACATGATTTTTCAACCATCCATTCTTAGTTGACACGAGCTTTAAGAGACCGAGACCAGTGCCGAGTCTTGTTGGAATTTCCATGGTTTACGACCGAAATGTATGCATGCCTATGGCTCTAAAGAAACTTCCAAAATATTTTCCTGACAATAAATCGCATGTATGGATTTTGACAATAGGCACGCTGTTCTTACCATTACTTGAGATTACTTGAAAATTACTTCGGGTGGTCATTTTTATCATTTTTAGAGGGAAATTTTCCTCATCAAAGAGCACAATGTTTAGAAATTCGCCATATTCGTCGAAGCGTAACAACTCCTTTGCTCTTTTGAGTCTAACTTTTTGTTGTTTTGCTGTAAGATCTTGTGCCTTTAGGAACTTGTAAGACTTTACCTTAAGCTTATTTTGGAAAATGCTTCAGATGATGCGGTAGGATACTTTTAGTTCTTTGGTAACCACTACAACGTGGATTTGTCATTGCGCCATTTAAGTCTAGCCTTCACTTTCCGAACTATTTCAGGTGACGTTGCTGTTTTTTTCGTCCACTACCACAACGTTTGGTGATGCTGTCTGTACTATTATTGCGACTAAAGAAACGATACAAACATTTTATTCACTTTTAGGTGTTTAGGTGTTTGAGCTCACAAACAATAGCTGGTTGTGATTTTCTATAACCAATCGCACTTTTACGTTTGAATTCCATTTCGAATAACTTTTATTATATAAAACTAAGACGCGACTCAAATGCTTGTGGTGGCTTCTGAACAATATAAACAGCTGTCATTCGTATGAATTTCACGTACTTGGCAATAGCAGTCTATGTATAGTTGGTAACACTTCAATCACCTAATCCTGTATTAATATATATTGTCAGGTAAGGACCTTGGGGTGCTAAAGGCAGAAGACTACCGCCTTCAATTGAATCGGAAGCTTCTAAATGTAGTATGTACACATATATGATGTTATACACATTCATTATTATTGCATCATGGCCGTTGAATTTTTTTTAAACTCGTATATATGACCGAAATAAATTGAAAGACCCCCTACCTAATTTTCTAGCTGTGTCTTGTACAGATAAATAATTTCCGAAATATATAAAAATATCTGATATTTAGTAGTAAAGCTTAATAGCCTATTTACGTAGCACAAGTAATTGTAATCAAGTTAAAATTATAATCATTTTCCAAAGAAATCCTTTGGTGATTCATATATATATTTATTAATTACTTATAATAAATAATTACAATTAAAAAAAATTATTTTACTAAAGTGTTAAATATTTAACCACAACAAATAAATTATATAAAAACTATATATATAAATTTATATATATACTAACAATGCTTAAAAGTATTTAAAGTAAAACTATTATATGCATTTTAAACTTACTTGAATGCCGAATGTTGTCCCCGTTGTTTTGCAACTCTCTCTAGAACTAAAACATCCTTTCCGTGCTCCTGCAATCTGAGTGTATTAGCTTCAACATCACGCAGTATACGATTGAAATGCTCCTTATCTACGCGCAATAAATGACAATTATTTTCCTTCAGGACAATTGTAGCAGCTCTAAAAAATGGTTTGAAAAGGACAAATTGTAATTACAAATTTATGCTTGTGAATTTAATAATTTTTTAATATTTCTATTTATTATTAAAATTATGCTTTCTAGTGCCTCTAGCAAAAAATTACAATAAAGTAAAAGTTGCATTTTTCATTAAAACATTTCAATTACGTTGTCAATGCTGAGCTCCCTATGCCTTCATAACCCGGTGCACTTTAATTAAATTTTTCATTTCGTCCTTTTAGGTAAGCTTGGCAGTAAATCCTGCGCACTAACTTTATATAACACGAAATTGAATATTAATTTTTTTCCCCATTTAATTTGTCCAGCAATAATCCATGTTTCAATGATTTTTTTAATTTAATTTACTATAACAGATATTTAAAATACTTAAATGCTAATATTTATAAATTAAATTCAGTGAAATATATAGACATCCGTTCGATTGGACCACCACAGAAAAAAAGTTGATGACCTAAAATTAAATGGAGATTAAGCCTACAGAAAAAAAATTATAGAATTAGAAAATCTTGAATAGAAGTCATAATTTGAAATAGAATATAATGAAATTTTTTTGAAGACCTATTGATTCAGCTAGAGTTTATGGATTAGTTTTGTTTTGTATTAGTTTATTGATACAATAATAGTCTGATATTAGAAACTTTTTAAAGTAAGACAGTTTAGCAGCTTTCATTTAAAAGGCTCAATGCATACTGCTCGGTTAAAGCCAGTTCCAACACAGAAGATATATTATGGTTGATGTGCTCACTTCAAAGTAGACCGATTTCTCTATAAATTATCGATTCAATTTAATATTAAAACAATTCATAATAATTTAGTAGTAGTATTTAGGTGAGGTTGGAGTGGCAGTCTTGCACATCAAAGTCCACTTGAGCACATATATTAACCAAAAGTGGTACAATTAGTAATATCTCTTTATCACTTTTCGATCTATTTTCTATACAAAAAAAATTTTTTATATAGTAATAATAAAATGGATATAGTATGCAAAATGATAAGACCTCCGTAAAAAGTATTTATTACAGTTAAAGCAAGTATAGTATGTCGTAGTATACTGTAGGAATGTAAGTAAAAGTCTATTTTATTTAGCTTGAGTTTGTACACCTGAGCGGCTGGAGTGTTGCAGACGGGAAGTGTATACATCAAGTGTATAACCAGAAAAAGTGAGACGTTTAAAGTTTTGAAATTAAAAATTATATATTAATAGATAGTTCACAGCATATTTTAAATTTATTTTCTATTCGTATATACATAAATAAAGTAACTGGGTTTGCTTATATTTTAGCTTGGGTAGAAGAACTATCGGAATAAGTGCATTTCTATAGAGTGGGAGCTAAGGCTATTGCAATGCTAACACCATCTAAAATATTTAAGGAGTTAGAAGATTAAAATCATTATCATGAATTTTGGTTATCATATTGTTTACCATTTAAAAATTCTAAATGCATTTTTAAAAATGTTCCTATTATTTCGGATTTAACAGAATTATGGAGGTAGATATACCCCATATGTAGTTACGACAGTAATTAATATGTAAATCACCAAATGGTTAATATGCAGATATTAATTAAAAATAAATTACAAATTCATAATAAAAAATACTATTGCTTATTTGGTTAATGATTTTGTAATAATAATTGAAATGAATCAGCAAAATTTGTAAAATTAAATATGTAAAATTAAATTAAAATTAAAAAATTTATAAAATTTTTTGAATTTATTTATCCATCTGTTTTTTTATATTTTTTAATGTATTCTTAATTAATCATTCTTAATTAATCATTGAAATATTGTAAATTGTTGTAATTATGATGATTCTCAAGGAGAGTCGAAATATAGTATATAATAAAAAATATTAAAAGTTTAATTATTTAACAAAGAGTGACCTATAGCCGGATTAAAAAATATATTAAAACCATTATAAAAAATTTTTATTTATAAATATGAATCAGGGTTTTATATTTATTACGATAAATGGCATTATACAAGATGTTTTAAGTCGAACTGAGCAAACGTGGAAGGAATGGCAGCTTCACGTCAGACGAATGACTTATAACTTTATGTCAAAAGTAGTGCTGGTTGAAATTATGAACTCCAAGGACATTTAAGGGTGACAACTAAAACTGTCCTACGAATACTGGCCATCTGCCTTTATGTGTAGAGTCCAATTGATGTGATATGAATAAACTTGGATTTCAAAAAGATATCATTGTATTATAATTGTTGAATAAAGAGAGCTTAATACTAATTAAGTAAGAATAAGATTTATTTTTAAAAATAAATAAAAGTTAAAATATTTTATTTAAACTTAATTAAAACCATTTAGAAAAATTAGTATTTGAATAAAAGCATTTATAATGATAGAAACAAACTGATATGAATTATTTTGTTTAAATATTGAACATCGTTTAAATCTTATTTTATTAAGTTCACCTATTTATTAAAATTTTTTTTATAATTGGTTTGAATGATAACGACAGTGATTGTTAGAATTCTTATATAGAAGTATTACTTTTTTGGATTAATTATAATAATTCGTAATGGCTCTATGAAACACTTTTTTAGTTAAATGTCAGTTTCATGTAATCGAGCTGTCATAAAATCAAGCTGTTATAGCATTATTTATTTAATTAACTTTACTTTATTTGCTTTGTAAATGAAAACTTCATTTATTTTTAAGATAAGCATGCAATTTTTAAGATAAATTTTCTTAAAACAGAAAAATTTGAAATTTTGGAACCAAGAAATAAAATATTTTTTCTCACATTGAAAATATATATACAGATATTTTCTAAAGGAATTGTTTGAAACTTTGTTCTTGATCTTGAATTTTAGTACAGTTACCGAGCACTTTGGTTTGATTTTGTATATTTGCATTATTTTTAATATTCTATAATAGTGCTTTAAGCAAGCGCTTTGAAACTAGTAAGTAGTTCTATTTTAAATTGTATTTCATTGGTATATAAAAATATCTAAAAAGTACTTAGTAATGTTAACATATTAATATTTGGTTCAATTTCTTTAAAACTTCTTTATATTCAATTCATGTTTCATTCAGATTTTATTTGATTTTTGCTTAATTGCATTTATTTGAATTAAATTATTTAAAGAAACAGCTATTTAATGGAGGTTTAGATGAATGTTTTAAAAATAAATAAATGTTATGACATTGTGTCATATATCATCTAATTTTACAATTTTAATTAAACAACTTTTTTTTTGAAATAATTATTTATTATACATTTTCTATAGCCTAAATGTTCTTAAAACTGTATATTTTATGAAGTTTAATTCTATTTTAAATTTGTGCTTTTTCTTCCAATTTGAGCAGGAATTTTGATAATATATAAGAAGTTCATTACTTAAAAAATAGGCGTCCTCACACTCGATGAATAACATCACCTTACAGTTTAAAGTAAAAAGTAATTGCAGTTCAATGTTTTCCTATATTTTATCTTTTCCATATAAACATTTGCATAAATAAATTGTATACCAGTAGATATAGACGTATTTCAATGTTGGGAAGTAAGTCGATTGAAGGATTTAATCATTTACAGGTTGAAAAAGCAAAAAGTGCAGTAAACGATATACAGAAATCTCTTAAAAGCCTACACAATGAAATTAAAGAGGATATGAAAAGGCAAGTATTAGTGAGATAGAACAGTTTAATCTGCAATAAAAACTGCAAAAGTTAAGTGCACATCAAACGAGGATTTCTACTAGTGATAAACCATATTTATACGCACAAGATTATACAACTGTTATAGTTATGCTGATGGAGGCCACACTCTACTACCGGCATACCGCGACCAAGCACATAACAACGATGTATATAAAGCATCGACATCCTACATGATGCCTAAAATGATAATCATGCATGATCTCAATTACAACTTCGAGATAGGGATTAGAATAATTCCGAAGTAAGAAATTTCGTGAAAGGAGACTAAAATTTTTGTGGATATCATTTTGTTCTCTTTAATGTGTGCGACTGGTAACAAGAGGATTTTCACTTGCGATGCACTACTATAGGTGAAATCTGGTACCACTCTACATTCTAGATGTCCACAATTTCTATGAGTTGGCTCCGTAAGGGCTAAAATTAATTCCTAAAGCTACGTAGAGTTTTGGCATTTATGATTTCATTCTATGTGGAGTTACAATTTTACAACCGAGTGCTGTGACCTAAAGCACTGAAGCTTAGATAGTTCTTACTCTTCACATATAACTTCAATTGGTTCAAGTGGAATTTATTTCAAATAGCTGTTTATCGGTGCATTATCTTGATATGTGTTTTTAAAACAAATAACCATATAAAACATATATAGATCATGCTGCTTACTGCAAATCGACTTACAGGTATTGGTCGATCCTTTTTCGCAAAAGATCAATATGACTATAGGCAACTTACGACTAGCCAGAGTTTTTTAACGAAACCTTCAGGTAGAAGGATTCTCTAAATTATCATGAGATTAAAAATGAATAATTTAATTGAAAATTTAACAATTTTTTTTAAAAGATAGAGCATAAAAAAGTACATTTGGAAAAATGTATGCATTTTTTATTATAAAACCAAATTGAAAACAGGAAATAACTTTGCTTTACAAATGCTGCGAAATTTTTTATTAATATTTAAATATTTTTACTTTTATGCACATGTACTATACTTTTCAATTATCTCTCTAAAAGGTGCCTTTAATAAACTTTACATATCCATGGTGGATAGTGTACTTGTGTGGTGGAAGAGTGTACCATAGAGTTGCATTCATACCAGCATTTTTACGCTTTAACGCTTTTATCTTTTATTTCATATTAATCAATTTTTTTTTATATGTGTTTATTTTATGAATAAAGTGAGTAGTATTGAATTGCATTTTACCATGAAATTGGTATTTATTTAAAACCGAAAGATAATTTTTTTAAAGGGGACAACAGTGTTTAAAGGAAGTTTCCATTTACGACCGGTGTTTGTAGTGTCCTGAAAGGATATGTGCACATAGCTTTAAGAATAAAATGCTGGAATTATTCTGTCAACACTGTTTAAATCTGTGTTTAAGAAATCGGTAAATCGAAACAGTTTTGATTCAAAAATAATAAATATATATAAAATAATTATTTTTCTCAAGTTATGGAATGGAGTCAATTATTTTATGATTTATTTTATTATATTTATTTCTGTTTTGTTTATTAATGTATACACGGACGCTACAGTCTTGTAATAGAATGACAGTTTATTTAATTTACTATAATACAAATTTTAGTAACTAATGTATCGAGGGAAGAAATGACTATTAGAGAGTATTTTCTAAAATTTACGCAACATTTAATATTCAAATAAAGATATCTATCATGATGAAAACTATGATATGCTATTGTGGTACAAATCTATTTACTTATAAATTTTAGTTAAACTTTATTTTAGTTTTGAGCTTTTTTTGGTATTCCTTGCTATATTGTAGAGTATTAAATAGTACCACATGTTTTGTTCCAAGAACACACAGGTCTGTATCAAGTTTATTACTCCTGTCGGTTGGTTGGTAAGTTACTGTGGGTTTTTAGCAGATATTTTTTTACTTCACATATTAATTATTTGTCGTTTCAAAATCACATTTTTCATAAGAAACTCTAATGGAAACGACTACAACTATTGTATTCAGTTCCAATAATTGCAAAATAGAATAACACTGGCTTCTCAAATGACGTCAAACTACCTTGTCTATAACAATATGCAATACTTTCTTCTTCTTCCACATCTCAGCCTTATATCTACAACCGAAGTATATATACTTTAAAGCCACTTTTCAATTTCAAGATTTTTCTATCGATTTTATTAGGCTGTCGACCTATTGAAATGACCAAAACCTGACCTTCCCACCAATAATATGGCATTAGGGAAAAATATGAAGCCACAGTGAAGGAGAATCATATAACAAATGAAATAAGATCTGCATTTGAGTATCGGCGACACTGCTTTGCAGTAGTTCTTGATGTTAAAAAAGTTTGCGATAGAGTGTGGCTTAGAACTTATTAATTTCATACGATTATTTTCAAAGGCTGTTCCAGTGCTAGAATCCTATATATAAAATGAGTATTTTATTGTAAAGCACAAATCATATATCTTCCAACTTCACTTAAAAATACTGGCGTTTTCCAAGGTAGCGTCCACAGTTCCTTTCTATACATTTGCCGACCATTATTTTCACATTTGCCAACGAAACAGCAATTTTATATCCTCACAAATATCATTTAGAAACCTTAAAGCAACTTAAAGCTCATTTATTCTGTTAGAAAAATTGCTAGCCCAATGACTTATTCTAATTAATTAACAAATATACTAGGTTTTAAATTTCACTAAAAACAAAGGTACTTCTTATACTAACCATACATAGCACGTCGATACCTCAAACAGATAATGTTTACTCAATAGCTATTCAATCTAATATTAGATTAATCTGGGGCTGGCGCATAGAAACAAAAAAAAACAAAATAAAAGTTCAAGTTTCTAGTTGCAGTCAAAATTTTTTTTTTTGTTTAGAGGGTAATGTTTTCTTATACAAGAGTTCCATTAAACCAAATAGGACATTTGCTCTTCAATTATTTAGCAACGCTAGTTCTTAAAATATAGAAAGCTTGAAAAGGGTTCAGTCGACAATACTAAGAAAAATCACAAGCGCACCATAGTATATCAAATATGAAAACATTTAAAACATCTAGAGGTTTCAATGATAAAATCTAAATGCGCAAAACTTAGAACAAAATATGTTAAAGACCTATATGTTAACATGTATAAGAGGATAACATCCTCTTAGCCTCTTAACTTATGTTTATGGAACCACCTTTTTGTTTAAAAAGATTGAATTTACGTTGAAATCTATACTACACCCTGATTTCGACACTCATGAAAAGAGACCACGTGAACATTGCAGGGCTTACTGCAGTTCTTTCTGGTCATTGGTATATGGCAACCCAAGCAAACAAACTGTGCGTTCCTTATAATCCTCACTGTAGAAGTTGTGGAAACCCGCAGAAAAAAGAAACAATAAAACATTTTCTCAGGGAATGCCCGGCTTTGACGTCCAGACGAAATACGTTCTTAGAAAGATACTTTTTTGATAGTTTATCAGACTATTCATCGGTGAAGACGAAAGACATATTAAATTATTTAAATTCGGCGGGATGGTTTTAGTCTTTACTCTTCTATACCAGGGTCTATGCACGGAATGTGGTAGCAAAACGGCGGGAAATCGTTGATCGAGGTACATGGGAGTGATATACTGATCTGCCACTGCAACCAACCAACCAATTAACCTCTTAGTCAGACATTTTGTTATTACTATGCCACTTTTTCGGCTTAAAAGATTGAACTGATCAGCCGTAGGTCAACTCACTCTTATTCAATTTATTCAATGAATCGCATTTTGTTTCGTATTTATTAACTCTCAGTTAGCCTTAAAGTGAGGCGTATAGGTATAGGAATTACTTATATATATAAGCGGTATAGGAATTACTTGCTATGTTATACTTGTAGTTATTTATATATTATATGGTTGGTACTGTATATATAATTAATTTTAAGATTTAGTAATTTATTGTTATTCTCTAATGTTAGGAAAGGATTCTACATATCAAATAAAAATTTTTTTTCACTTATGTAGAACCTCACCTATACCACATTAAGAGATATGGGTTCATTTTGCGCTGATTCAATTTGTTGGTGCTTTTGTCTGTACCGACAAAATGTCATAAATCGAGGATTACCTCTATTCATTATACAGAAACGAAAACGAGTTTTTAAATTTTAAAACAATGTATTTAATTATATCTATTCATTATCCATTTATTTTCCTAAAATGAAAACTTACCTTAGCGATGGTCGAGAACAAAAATAAAAAGCATTTAAGTATTTTCTATTTAAATTCGCAAAAGGTAGGAAAACAAAAAAAAGAAACGCGGCTGATTATTTTTGTTAAATTAAATGCAATTAAGTAGCTTATAAGGACTCTTTAAAGTTTTTTTAAAAGATAAATTCCCTTAAGTATGCAAAGAAAATTTGAAAACATTGACAAAGTTTAATTGAAAATGCTTCCTTTGTTAAGAAGTTAATGACATAAAACGAAAAAAAAAAAATAAAAAAAAAATAAATAAATAAAAAAGGACCTTAAAATAAATTTTCTTTTTAATTTTTGTTTTTTTTTGCTTTATTCAGATTACTTATTTAAAATATCTTAGCTGAAATGTTGATGTTTATATACACATTATAAATATATAATACATAATAGCTCTGAGGTGTCATTAAAACGAATCGTATGCAAATTTAAAATTTAATAGAAGCTGCAGAAACCCCTCTATTAAATTATAGCCCCCCTTCATATTATTTCTACCGTTGTGAAATTTTCAAAGATTTGCTGATTTTATTGTACTCACCTGGGTGCGTCGTTAATCAATGCGAGTTTACCGAAGTCATCGCCAGTCTTTAGGGTGGCAACAGTACCTTTGCCGTGTATCACAACATCTACGGAACCTTTGAGCAATATATACCAGGAGCGCCCCTCGTCGCCTTGATTGAATACTGTCGGTTAAATTAAAAGTAAGTTAAATTGGTGTTGTTAATAAGTTCGTTCGTTTGGCAGGAGTAAGTAAAAGCTTAAATGAGATTTCATTTATTTTTTCTCAACAGTTTCCTCTTTGCGAATTTTCGTCCTTGCCAAAAAATTGACTGGAAATATTTCAATAAACTTCACCTGTGAAATATAAAAATCTGAATGATGTTTAATTACGCGAGGGAGGAAAAATGAAATAATTTGGTCGGATTCTGAATGCAGCTGTTTAAATATTTTTAATTAATATTTATAGTAACAGGGAAATGTGGAGGCTGAAAGGGTTTCTGGTAAATTGTCGATATTTAAATTTTAAAAGCATTTTTCCATTCAATTTTGATTTAACTTTTATTAAACCTGTAGTCTGAATCAATTGGATTCATTTTGTGTGCATTTAACTTGGTTTTATTAAAATGAAATTATTTAGCTCATTTTAAATATTAACAGAGCAATGGGTGCTGGGTTCTATATGAATTGTTCTCGCAATACTTAGTGGGTTGATGGTCTCTTTTTTGTTAGTTTTACCAAAATTAGTAAAGTTATTTATAGATTTTCTGATGTACGTCACTGCAAAAAACACAATACATTAAATAGATATTTGATATTCAAATCGATTCTCATAGTTTTAGGGTTACACTTTTTGGAATATTTTGGATATTTAAAATAAATATTAGAAAGATATACTGAATAAACATATATAAATGAAGCTATTTATTGCACTTTCATCAATAAAGTTTAAGCAAATACTATTTCTTATGAACTAAAACTGCTTGAAGTCAAATAAGTTGAAGATATTATTAGAAATAGAAGATGGAAAATGAATTGCAACAACAATTTACATTTTTAACCAGCTGAACTCTGCGTATATCTTACAGAAAATAAATGATTTTATTTTAAAATATGTAATATACATAAATAAATATAAGTGAAAATCATATAAGTAAATCAGTATAGAGTATATAGTGAATTTTGAGTTTTAACATATAAAACAAAAACATATTTTAAGACATTTATCAATCTAGATTGAATAAGTACTCTAAGTAATCTAAGTGATTAAGTGATAAATCCTCAAATAAAAAATAAAATTAGATTAAACTTAAATTACTGTTTGTTGCTTAATACAAGTGTGCGGGGATAAAATAAATTCCTTTCTTGACTAAAAAGTAATAACTTTTTGGGTTGTTCAACTCTGGAATATATTAGATATAGCTGACTATGTGAAAAACATGGACTTTGCAAGTATAATGCATACACCTGAAGAGATTGATTTTGTGCTTTGTTTATGGTCTTTGAAGATGCAAGATGAATGGTAAATGTATGATAAATATATATATAGAATATAAAATTTTTTTTATAATATAATCAGTTAGATTTCTTTATACAAAAGTCTTCCCGAAATTGTCTCTCATCTTTTAGAGTCAGCCTATTCGAATACCAAAATTCGATTTGAAACATTTTTAAAGGTGGACTCTTAAATATTGACCCTAAATCAAACTGTTATAGATCATATTCCACGAATTTTTGTAAAGATTACGTAGTATAAATATTATGTAGAACAATTAAGAAGTTTAAAAGAGAATTGAATTTTAGTATTTTTTTATGGTGATCACTCACAATTTTGACTCAAAGTAAGAACCTTACAGTCTATATTAGGGTCCTTTATACAGAGATTGTGTATCGCATAAATTATGCCGATTGATTCAGCGGTTAAGGAGTCCATTAGCTATGAAATTAAATTTTGAATAATGAATTCACTATTTTGGCTGACTAGGAAAACTAAGCATTTTTTGTATATAATTTTTCGTATACAATTTTTATAATTTAAATACAAGGTTTAAAAGTAAACCATGCCAAATTTAAGTTGCAGATTCCCGTTCATCAGACACCGGAACTAACGCTCTGCTGGATTAATGCTGTTCAAACTTGGAGTTTTGTCAGTTTGTAGTTTTTTGAGAAACATGTTCTGTTGCTGTATTATATAGGAATAAAGTCATAAACTACAACTACATAAATGTTTAAGTCGATTTAGTTTTTTAAAAATTTTAGCTTTTATTTCGAACGTTATTTTTAGTATATTTCCATAGTCTATAATAGTCATAGATGATGGTTGCATAGATGTTTTTAATATTAGTAATTCTCCTGATAAAGGCAAAAGCGAACTTGCCGAAATACGTATAGATATATATAGATATATACTGTTCGAAATGAAAGCTAAAATTCTCAAAAAACGAAACCGACTTTAAAAGAGCTTCGACGTAATAACTCGAAAATTAAAAATAAAATTATATATAAATGTTGTTTGACCAACAAGTTCCTCTGCTGTGCTATGTAAGACTGAAAGCATAAACCACAGTTATATAAAAATGTAAATTAATTATTATAGCTATTTTTGTTCATTTTAAATCTGTGGTACTTGTATTCTGAAAATTATATACAAACAATTAAATCCAAAAAATACGATATTTCTAAAGATTTCTGACGACGGATATGTTGCTATATCGAAATAGTTGTCAAGGAAATAGTCAACGAAAAATATTTTTACTATTTACCCATTACCCATTTTTTATTTATTTTCAATTTATTTATTACTATAAATTTTATATTGATTGCTATTTTATTATTATTTTATAAATTTATTTGAATAAGGCTGGCTTTAATTTAAAAATTTTGGTCAGTATGACGTCGATCTTAAAGTATAGCATATGTGTTGTTTACAGTCCTCAAGTAGAGTTTGGGGATCTTAGCTCTATTGAATATTAGGGTTTTTGTATGATGTCGTTCTTAAGGTATAACATATGTCTTTTTTACAGTCCCCAAATAGGGCTTGGGGATCTTAGCTCTATTGAATATTAGGTTTTTTGCAGTTTTGGTTTTGGGAATTAAGTATTTAATGAGTTCTTAGTAGTAGTATTAGTTGCAGTGGTTTGAGATTATTACTCATTTACTATATACTTTGGAACGTGCAGTGTTAAATAAATCAAATTAAATAAATTGAATAACGTTTATAGGGTATAGGTTTATAAGGTACTGACAACAAATTTATATTAAAATTAATTTTATTATTAATATTTTTAAAACATATTTTGATTTACTAAGATGAAGTGGACTTTACATATTTTATATACAATATAAATGCAGCAGATAAAAAATTAATTTAATGGATTTGAAACTGATAAATTTTATGTAAATGGTCTATTAAATTATGCAGTGTGTTCACATATATCGAGGACATGAATAGGAATATTAAAAAATAATTATTGGAATTTATTTTTGACATGTTGCAGCCACATTTTCGTTTAAAATTATGCAAATATTTGCTAGTTTTTGGTCCAATATTAACAAATATACATACACTCGCTTGCAAATAAACTGCTTGTAAATCCTTCACAGTTAGGACCTTTCAGCGAATTTATTAACATAATTTGCCGCAACCAAAATGCATTTAAATTATGAAAAACGCTTTTAATGAATATTAAAAAGCAAATTAGTGCCGAAATTGAATTCCCTAATATCAGCTTTGCCACTAATCAGCTGTCAAACAGAACAAGTGAAATTAATTTGCATTTATGGAATGAATTTCGTGTGCAATCAACGCCGATTTCTGACTTTCAGGTCGCAAATTGTAAGTTAATTACTTAATAGAGATATTAATTATCTCATAATGGAAAAGTGATAATATAGCAAAATATTTTTTTAAAGTTTATTTAAGAAAAATATAGCTTATGTCATTTTATATATTTGTTAAGGAGTGGTGATGTTGTTGAGAGTTTATAAAAATTTTTAAAAAATTAATCTATATGTACTTCATATAAATTATTATTCATAGAATATATCTCACAAAAGATTGTTAGGAATATCTTTGTCACAGATACTTACAAATAGTCCCTGCTTGAGCGTGGGACTCAAATACAATTATTGATGACAGTTCCCGTTTGATGCTGGTGGAGAGATGAGATAATGCAGCAATATGCAGAAGTTCTTCAAATACCAATTCTAGTTCTTCTGGTGTGCGTTCATGTGATCTTAAAATATTAAGAAATAAATTAAAAATTTAGTTTTTTTAGTATTTAAAAAAAAAAGGATTTTAACAAAAAAAAACAATAAGAAAGTTTTTTACAATTTAAGCATGTACGGTAATTTTGAGTCAGCGATGTAACCAGGAATAGTAACGAGAACCTGTTCACCAACTATATGTTAGTTAAGATCTATTATACAGAGATTTATTGAGCTCCCTTCATGAGTTCGATGGATTGCTTTAAATCGAATTACTTCGGTATAATGCAGTATTGAACCTACTTTACCTACTTCTTTATTAGTAGAAGTTGAAACCTACCTATGTATTAGTTTCTATAAAATAGTTTAGCTTGGATAATTACCATTCTTGCTAATTAATTAGTAAGATGCTTGTGGTATCAATTATAGATTGATTAATTAAAAAAAGAAGTATTACTAGATATCTGAGATAGTTGTAATATCAATGGAATAATAAAAAAAAATTAAGTTAGGTTGTACCACGATCCCTAGGTGATCCAGTCAAGTCTATTGGCCCATTGTGTTACCGTATATAGAGGAAAACTCAGGCTTTAAACCCAACTAGAATTTTTGGCAAGTTCTGACAGGTACGATTGAGTTTACAGTGACCTATAAATAAATCTACCATAACACTGATATCTGTACAGGCCATCTCAATGAAAGAGTTTGATTTGCTTTTATTGGAGCGTGGCCAAATTGTATATGGCCTCTTCTAATACTTTTACAATTCTGAGAAGAAAAACTTTGAGACACGTCTTAGATGTGGGTCAAATATTTTTGTTTTAAGTATATATGGATATGTCACTGGGCATAATCTATACGCGCCTTTCTTTTCTTAGCATGTAGTAAATATTATTTATTATCATTCATACTTAATGGATTGTAATAAAATAAATGGATTCAAAAAAAAAAATATTAATATTTAATTTCTTTGTAGAATTTCTAGAGAGAAATATTTTGGTAAATGTAGTTGTAAAAGAGATATATATATTATAATTATTGTTGTTTTTCCTATGCAGAGATATTCCAATTATTATTACCTCATATAAAATATACCGTTAATCTTTGGAAAAATAATTGTTTTCGAATTCATTTAAAACTTTAAACTTTAAAATAAAATTAAGTCAAAATAAATATTTTATAGAAATTCATTTTAAAATTACAGCATTTTTGGTGTAATAAAAGTTACACACTTCGATAAATCTGACAAAGATTAGAAGAGCTAACATTTTCGTAAATATTCATTTGATGTTGTCGTAAGCAAACTGAAATTATGAAATGTGGACTGAAAATGTAAATTAAGTTTGTCATCGTCAGAAACGCATTAAAAATTCATAATTTGCGAATTGCTTTATGCAAATGTGCACCAAAATTAAAAATGTACATCGACATATTGGCAAAATACTGCAGATTTCATGTCCTGTGCAGGTTGCAGGGAGCTTAATTTATTCCCTTTGATTTTCATACTGGCCAGCTTATGAGGATAATAACTAATGAATATTAATAAAAAATTTCTTTTGCAATACCGAAATTATTACAAAATATCTTTTAGTTAAAATAGAGATAAAATTCTTACTTTAATTAAAATGCATAAAATTTATTTTTAATTATAAAAAAAATTCCTTATGGATTAAAAAAAAGGGATATTTACTTTGAACTTCTCTTCAAAAGATACTTACGGTTTTCTTAAAATCATACGCAGTGTGGCGTCTGGGCCACGTTGGAATAGGTTACCTAATGCTTCTCGTATATGTTCATTAGCTGAGTTAACGTCATCAGTTGTAGGGGAACCACCACCCTCTTCATCAATTCGAAATCGATATAAGAAACATTTATCCTTGAATGGTTGTTCCTTGTTTACTTTATTGTGCACGAAAGTGTTTCATTCAATGGAGGATGGATGAGCATGAAATTGAAGAAAATATAAAAAAATTACTTAGATATATCAAGACAAAATGATATATAATGGTAAATTAAATGCTATTTGTAAATAGATTTGTCTTAAAAATTTTATAGTTTATTTTTAAAATATTTAAAGATGAAATAAATTATTTGTCAAATAAAATTGTTGTTATTTATACGATTAATAGATTGTCGTTTTGGGCCTGATTTAGCAACATTATTTTATTGACATATGTAAAACAAAACTGTAAACCTAGACATCACATCATTAGTTCAAAATATGCCATTTTATAAAATAGATTATTTAATAACCACTAAATGTCCAAAAATTGTGAAAACCTAACACAAAATAAGATCATATCAACAGCCTGCGCCTTATTGTAGAGCAGTGTTATGAATTAAATACCCCGCTGTGTCTTGTGTTCATCGAACCAAAGTATCATATAGTCCACGCTTGAAAACGTAGGTGTTCCTGAAAAAATCTAAAGCCTTATCAAAGTACAGTACTGTAGAGCAAGTTCTAGAGTCCTACATTGCGACAGCATTAGTGAGGTCTTTCTGTCGCAGACCGGAGTTAAGCAAGGTTGCCTCCTAACATTAGATGCCGTATTGATAAAAGTCACTATCGAAAGAAGGGGTATATTATGAAGGGTCAACCAACACCTCGAAGTCCTTGACTATGCGGGCGACATAGTGTTACTCTCTTCAAATAAAGAGCATATGCAGGCAAAAATTGATGCCATTTCAACTACAACCGTAATAGTGGGTCTGCGGATTAACATAACCAAAACAAAGGCATGCACGATTAAATCAAATCAAACTTCCACGTTTCCAATCAGTAACACCAACATTGAAACCATTGAAAATTTCTACTACCTTAGACGCATAATAAGTCCAACGGAAGGCACAGCTATTGACGTAAGAAGCAGTACTCGTATTAACAAAGCACGAACTGCATTTGCAAGTCTCCGAGACATCTGGAGCTCAATCGAATTATCTTCGAAGACTAAGATCAATGTATATAACGCATGTGTCAAATCAATTCTGCTGTATAGCTCTGAAACATGGCTGGTGAGTACTGAAACTGCAGTCTTTTAACAACAGATGTCTGCGAAATATATTGAGAATTTGGTGGCCCCGTGTGGTAGACAATGAAACGGTGCATATTAAGAAACCCTTGAAATTGAAGTTATGGGAGTAGTTGATATCTGATTTTAAAGAACGGTATTAAAAGCCCTACAACAGATTCCATCCATATTTTAGTTTTGTTACACAACATATTTTCTAGATGTGTATTTCACATTTTGTTGATGTTAATTGGACGTCAAGTTCATAATATTTGCCATAATTATGCACTTGTTATTGTATTACACAAATGATAGTGTTAATGTGAACCGGCAAATATCCGGTAACTTATGGACAAACTATTGCCAGCTTTTTTCCGAGAAGTCATAGAAAATGATGCCGTACTGTAAGATTTCGAGGGGAAAATATTTAAAATATAATACCTATATATCACACTTAATGGTATGATTTAAAAAAGATATAAAAAAAATTTTTGATTGACATCCTAAACGCAGGTGCGTTTTGTTCAATCTACTTTTAGAACCACAATATGAACAATCCTGGGTTAGACAACTATTCCGCTAATTTATCTTTACTTAAAATGAATTATATTATTATTACTAGGCCAAAGGACCTTGCAGTCTAGTCCCTTATTCTTAGTTAAGTTTAAAATTAATTTTAGTGTTTACTCACAAATAAATAAATAAATATTATTATTATTATAATTATTACTAATGAATATTTATAACAATTTAAGTTATGACATAAAATTTTGTAACAAAATTAATTGCTTTTTGTATTTCATATCTCCAAGAGTTACAAGAGCTGTTCAACTCACCATGTGATAATACTCCTTCCTCTAAAAGAGCTTGCCACATACCAGCCGCTTGGGCACGTGTGTGGACGATTGGTGACAGATTTAGCAGCCAGTCAACTAATTCGGTGCCAGGAGCACACTTGCGTATTAATTTCCCAGAAACCTTAAGACAAAAAGAAAAAACAACTTAAATAAGATAAAGTTTTTCATGCTTAGATGACATATTCAATTAAAATAACATTTGCTAAGTAATTGGAGACCAAATTTATGGCAAAAGTATAGCACTTTTTAATAATTAGAACAAATGAAATAATTATCAGCAGTTGTTGAAATTGTCATAGTTACGGTCCTCCGTTACATACTTTATCACCAAATACATTGACATTAATTCTAGTTAAATGAGTACATAGTAAAATGGGTTCACTTACTTTTCTGTCCTTAAGACAACTTGAATTATCAGCAACGAGTAAAGTACGTAATGCCCATCCCATGCGGTTCATAGCAGGACTCGGAGACTGTAAGTGAAAGATAAAATTGTATTACAGTTAGTGAAAGTACAAAAGGATAATAGAAATGAGAGTACTGGCGAAAAAAAAAGTGGAGTTAAATGCTGATTGTGCGATTCCTTATGGTGCATAAAATGTATTTTGTTTGAATATAACACTACATACATTAGTATAGCTATGTAGATATATTATATTTTGAATTAGTTCTCTGTGAATTTAATCTTGAATATTAATTAGTTAACAATTAGTACGTTTTATACAATTTTGTTTAGTTTATACTGAAAGTTTTCTCAACTGCTTTCCACTTAAGTGACTCTAAAAAAGTTACTGAACGTGTAAATAGATTAAAATAATAAAGTGGAAAAATAGTTTATATGTCAGTCAATCGAAAGCATTCAGAGATTTTTACTTAAAAGTTTTACTATTGGAAGAACATTTTTATAAAAGTTCACTTTAAGTTATTTCCATTAACATCAATGACTTAGTATTAGGAAAAATAGAATAATTTTAGCATAGCATTAATAATTACTAGATGAAGTCAATTTCCGATATAATTGTGCTAAAGAGAAAAATTTATGAAAATCATTCTATATCTTAAAACTGGAAGAGCTTAAAAATCAATAAATATCTTTTACAGTGCAAATTTTAATACAGTCTCATTTTAATATAATATATTAATTTCATCTACTTACCTCAGTTATTGGTAATGCTGGATTTGGATGATCCGGGCTTAGTGGTCGTTTGATAGGTGAACTTGCAGCAGGCTGAACACCAGGACCAAAACCTAAAAAGTTAAGAATTATTTTATTAATTAATTACTTTTACATATAATTATAAAAAATATGAATTGTTGAACTATAAAGAAGGCTGTTGATAACGGAACAGACATATTCAGCAGTTTATTTATATCTTGGACTGCTTAAAAAGTAAGAATTGCAATTCTGTGATATTGTACCATCTTGTATGGAAGAAAGATACTTCAGTGTTATATTTAAAAATACTTTTTATAGTTAGAGACAGTAAAAATATATATACCTCAAGAAAGCATCTTGGACTGATGATATAATATATATATATATCCTACATGGAAGTTTTGTACATGACTAAATTTTTATTTTTTGCAAGGAACTCGGACAAAGGTTATATGCACAAGCTGCGAGGAACAAGCAATGATTTGGGCAAATAAATGGTTTATTATGACAACATATCATTTTCATTAATTAATCATTAATTGTACATTAGATAAAATTTATCCATTAAAAATTACCACGAATAATATATAAATATAATAATTTGTTGCCTTTAGTATTATTTTAGATGTGAAATTAAAATTGAAAAATGAGAATAGATGAATTTAAATTAAAATGAAAAATTTATGTACAGTGACTAACAATTTATGGACTAACTGCGAAGAGTGTGAGAAACGAAGTCTTTTAGGTTCGTATACTTACTGGAGTATTAACGAGGCACTATGCCATTCCGCCTATGCTTTAACGGTAGTGAGTTCCAACAAGTGGATTACGCAGGAGTTGCCAAGATGAAGAGGAGGTTCAATCTATCAACTGCAGACAAGGCGACTTCAATGTTTTGGGGATCGCTTTTTCACTGGCTTAGAAGAGATAACGAAAGCAAACTTATCGGATCTCCTCAACTTCATGTGAAACACCAAATGGTTTAACAAGAAAGAATAATAAACTTGCCTCTAACGGCAAAATTTTTGTGGGCATCACAATGATCAATGTATATCTCCGAGTGGAAGTGCTGACAACTGTTAGCACGCCCCTTCTGAACCTATAAAGTTTGATGTTTTATCGCTAAGATTTGGTCAATGTCCTCAAGAAAGGAAGCTCTTAAAGTATTAAGTTGTCGCCATGCATAAGCTGGGCAAAAACATAGTAGATGAGAGGCACTCTTATTGGCTTCCCCGCAGTTGATACAGATTTGATTGAAAGGGAGACCTAATCTTCTAGCATGTAAATAACCCTGTAAATGACCTGTAAGTAACCCTACCAAAATCTCTACGGGGTATTTCAATGAGAATTTTGGATTTTCTCTTATTCAAACGTTGCCAGATTGCATACTGATGCCTGCATATCGTCGAGTCTTTCCACCTTTTATTAAAAATTTCAGTACAGAAAGTACTCAGTAATAATTTGCGTGATGTTAGTGATATGCCCAGATTATTTAGGTGTTTCGAGTGCGGTTCTGAAGCAACCTTTCCGGCTAACTCATCTGCTCTACAATTGCAGAAAATATTATTATGACCAGGAACCCAGATTAGAGAAAAATTGAACTGCGTCAACATTTCGTTCAGAGATGTGTAGCAGTCAAGAACTGTCTCAGATGTAAATTGAAATGAACTCAAGGACTTTAAAGCAGCTTGACTCTCTGATAGTATATATATATTCCTGCCAAATATATCATCCACATTCAAACAAGCTATAGCTTCCCTAAAAAAGACACTACAATGACGCCTGAAAGACACTACAATGATCTGGAAGCCTAAAGTAGAAAGATTTATTGAATTCCTCTGGGAAAACTCCATAGTCTACACCACTACTTGTTTTGGATTCATCAGTAAAAATGGTTAAACCCTCACCTAAAGAGGGACCACCTCACGCCCATAAATCTCTAGATGGAAATTCGACATCAAATTTTCTGTCAAAGTTGAGAATAGAAGAGATGTAGTCAACGTTTTTAGAAGTGAAATTGAAAAGATTAAGAAAAATGCAATTGTACACGTAATAGAAATATTTTCTACTACAATTAGATATTTCAACTAAACTATTTCTTAAATTAATATTTCAGATTTATAATATTTTTCTTTTGTTGACACAATATGTTGTATATGTATTTCATTTAAATTATCTTCAATTGTGTTCATTAAGTTGTCTATATCTTGTAATAGTACTTCCATATTCTGTGATACAATAGAGAGTGAAGCAAATTTTCCGTTGTGATGTTTGTCAACTTCCAACTGTAATTTGCATATATTTCATTAAGCAAGAAGCAATGAATTTCATTAGTTGATTTTATAATTTATGTCTCATGCTGCCTTAATGAACACATTGCATTTTAATGACATTCATTTCAGTAGGATTTGCATGTTTTCAACATAAATTAAATTATTGTGATTTGGAAATGTTAAATAAATAAAGTATGCAGTCACATTTTTACAACTTTAAAAATTAAATATTTTTTGTAAAATGTATCTGTACATGAAACAGGCTAAACATTTCAATATACAAAAAAATTACTATGATTTCACACCGCATTGATACCACTTATATTTATGACTTTTCATTCATAAAATATTAATTCAAGCAAAAAAAAATATATATTAACGAGTTAATCCTTTTTTATATTGGTTTCAATAACAAATTATTTACAAACCAAATCGAATAAACGATTCAGTCAATTGTGTATTAATTGATCTTTTATATACAATTATATACAATTTAGCAATCATTAATTATTATTTGCAAGTTACTCGTATCAATGGAGTGTGAAAAAATAAATAGTAAATTGCTTTAACGATAAATTGCTCAAATTTTAATTGTTTTCTGTAATTATATTGAAATGTATTATTTAATAATTTAACTGCAATATGTAATACAATTTGAATTGTCACGGTTATATCAAAAAAAAAAAATTTTATCAATGAGTTTTTAATAAAAATAATGTGCACTTAAAGAAAAATAAAGTGGAACGAAGCGTTTTAAAATTTCCAAGTAAAAAGGTTTTTAAAAATATTTCATTTACTACAAATATAGCATTTTGAGTCTTAAATATAGAAATAAAAACTAAAAATATATAATATTTTTTTTCCGAAAAGTAAAAATTGTGTTATTTTCGTTAAATTCCTTTCAAAGGCAGACGCAACAAGCATTAAGAGATGAGAGATAATTAAGATCAAGAAATAAGAGTTAAACGTATGTTTTAACGTTAAGAGCCTGTTCACACTGGGTGCTTTAAATGCATACTTAGTAAAGCAAGCTTTATGCATATTCTTAAGGGACTGTTTACATTATAACTCAGTTTTTAAAATCATTAATGAATGATTACGATTGATAAATTTTGTTCAGTCGTTTATCAAAAATTTACATTAGTTCCTGCTCTGTCTAATTCTAAGTAAATAGGTCAATTGAGAATGTATTATGCAAATTTTATTACAGATCTATATACTAGTCAAGTGCAAAAATGGTCAGCAAAGTGGAATAATTAAATTTTACTTATATTTTATTAGTAAATATAACAATTATAAGTGTTTAATTTGTATTTTTTAATCGATAAATAAAGGTTTTATGTCAGTTTCAATAATATTATGGTTAATCTTGTTTTTTTTTAATGTAAAATATGTTCTCTATATTATATTTTTAGGATATTATATTAATTTAGGATGTGTGCCTTTATGAAAATGTTATAAGTCAACTTAGCTCTTAAAATTAAAAGGTTCCCATAAGTTTATCGATTAGTCCAAATTAAACTAAAATATTTTTTTGGGATATTTTTTAAAATTTCATTTAATGGAAATATTAAATATGCTTCGTGTAAGTTGTTCGGTTATTTAATTATTTTAAAAATAGGTCTTAAAATAATGATATCTTCAAAATTTTGATTAGTAAATATAATTTTATGATAAATTTAAATCCGACACAAATAAAATTTTACATAAATTTTACAATCTTTAAGACGTAACTACTTGTATATTGAAGTCTGTACCATGTACAGAGCTTGAAATTGACTAAATGGGCCAATTATTTTTATTAGTCAAAAATGACGCCTGAAAATTGCAAGTCCAGCATTAATTTTGTGAAACATTGCATTTTATGGTAATGTTTAGATGCGAAGCTGAAAGTGAAAGATCTTAAGGTTTAGATATAAGTTATTATTTTTATCATATATATTTAATAGAGACGAATCAAACGAATCGGTTGTCTTTTATTTTTATTTAAAAGAAAATACAATTTGTAACTGGTATATATTTTTTTTGATTTAAGCTTTTTTTCTTTAAAAGACTTTTAATTTAATTTTATCTTCTTAAAATTTTATTAACAGAGTTCAATAATATTCTTGTTATGTAGGTAAGATATAATAAGGTCAGATATTTTTAAGATGAATACTCACATCAAAATAGAAAATTGTAATCAATGATCAATCTTCATTAATAATATATTTTTTTCTTATTTTTGATTTAAATGCAAAATGATTAATTTTATTATGAAATCTATAATTTACTTATAGATATATAGAACATTCCATGAGTGTATCGATTATGTTTAACTTCATCATTTGTTATAATTTAATTACTATGCGTTGTTTCGACGTATGGGACGATGCTCTATGCTATGTAGAAATGAATTTGGAATAGTCACGCATATTTTCATATAATTGACACCTTTGAAGCAATTAAAAAAAAATTATCATTTACACCACAAATCTGTTTTTTTTTATAAAAATCAAAACTTGCTAATTAATTTATTAAAAATTTTAATCACAAAACAATCAAAAAAACAAAAAAAAATTAAAAAAAAATTTATAGACGGAAGACTTTAAATAAGACATAATAATTCAAACTTTAATGTAACATATGATATAATATTTAAGAATATAGATTATTATCTATAACTTTAACATATTCTTTTGCCCTACTTAGGACTATCTAATCTCAGAGTAATCACTAATTGCACGGGGCGGTACGCAGATCTTAGACCAGACACTGAATAATCACAATGCTTACGAGGAATACACAAATTAGTCAGTGAGATGGGTGGGACTTTGTAGAAACCCCCCAGTTATTAAAGAGTAAAAGTGCACAGATGCACTAACTCCACAGCCTCAGATGTGACAATTTTATTTGTTGATATATTAACCACAGTATGTGGAAATCGTCTTCAAATTTCTATATACTTTTGTGTATAGTGTGCTCAGATGATTGATTATGCTGATTATAATCTTATTGCAAACCACAAAATTCTAAATAATCATGATTTTTTTTTAATAATTATTCCCAACTTTAATACATTTGGCGATTATTTAACGATCCATATTATAAAATGGGACAACAAAAATTTGATACCATGGATTGTCAGTTGACATATGTCATTATAGGTTAGGTTAGGTTCGGAGGGTGCTTTCACTTGGAGGCATATATTTCCCATTGTGATACCCTCAGAAAATCTTTGTCGAGAGAGGCGAGTTGCTAACCTTTGCAATCCTTGTTAAACCATTTGGTTTTCTAGATGAAGTTGAGGAGATCCGATAAATTTGTTTTTGTTATCTCTTCCAAGTAAGTGAAAAAGCGATCACCAAGACATTGATGTCGCCTTGTCAGAAGCGCTGGACAGAGACATAGGAAGTAGTAGATATATTCTACTTTCTCTTCATCTTGGCAAATTCTGCATAGTCGACTTGTTGGAACTTGCCACCGTTGGAGCATAGGCGCAATGGCACAGTGCCCCGTTAGTACTCCAGTAAATGTCATTATAACAGAGCAACGAAATTAAAAACAAAAAATAGATAATCACATATTTATAAAATGATTGAATTTTTTAATAACAATACAATTAAATTAGCTAATGTTTGAGATTAAAGCTTGGATTTAAAAATGTAGATGGGAAATAAAATTAAAGTATAAAATATCAGAAGTAAACTGTCAACATATATGTTTTATTAAAATCAATTTTTATGACACATTGTTAGTATCTTGGAACGGAATATTATTTCATAGCAGATATTTTTTTGAGATGTTTCTGATGATTTCACATAAAGATCCTTACAACTTTTTCTTTGACAAGTTCTTAATCTTTGGATTTTTTTAAATGTAATCATAACATTTTTAAAAAATATAACAGTTTTTAGGAAAGTTAAAAGTACAATTTTGACAGAACTCTGGTTAAAAGAAATTAAGATTTATCTTATCTTTTGCTATTCATAAGTCTTTACCAGTAAGTTCTGTTTTTAAGTGGATGGAAAACAATTGCATTGAATGCAGTTGATTCTTTAAAATATTAGTTTAAATATTGAATTCTATCTTTTATAATAATACTCATATAATAAAACTCTTGTAATAAGTCAAAGCCAGTGTAGTTTTTGTTTTCCTGTAAAAGGAGTTATAGTTTAACTTTCAGTTCAGCTCATGATTGTAATGTATGATCCATATATTTCAAAAGCTCCTTCTAGTTAAAGTAAACGGAAGTTGAATCTCCTCGATTAGCCAGAAGGCTGCATGTATTCAACTTTATGTACTTAATTAAGAAATTAAACTCATTTGCTACTTTTCAGCCTTATTCCATTAAAAATACTATTGTATCGATATGATTTTTTAAATGTAAATAGATTCAGAGAAGGTAAAAATAATAACGTTTATTTAATGAGATATATGTTATATTGATAAACGAAACATAATAATATGATAATACAGTATATTATCGGTTATTTAGGGAAAACGAAAAGATAAGGACCGGGATTAATATATAAGAACTTTCTCTGAAGAAGCTGGTTCGTTTCCTCGAGATATTAAATCTCTAAATACAAAGGGGTGCACAATAGATCAAGCTGTTCGCAGTGCATTAAGGCATTAGTCTAACTCATAAACCATTACATTACATTTCAATATATAAGAAGGAGTTAGGTTAAAATAGCTATTCCAAAAACTTAGTTTTCACTTATGACGAGTTTAAAACTTATTTTTATGACGTAGTAAACATAATGAATAAAGAAATTTATTTTAAGAAATTCTATTACAGTACACAGAATAATATAATTAAATTTATTTAAAGAAATTATTAATAATAAAAGATTATTTTTATATGTTTGACACATAATTAATGTGACTGTTTTTTAAATAATGAATTAATTATGATAACATTATAAATATAAAATTAGTATTATTATATGTCTTAGTAGTAATTCAAGAACTCTTCAACTCACCATTCTTTAATTTGCAGCTGGTAATAATGTCATTCATCAACTCTTTGTTTTTCTGAAATTAAAAAGATAATTGTTTGTTAAACTTTGGTATAAACAGCGAGAAATTCAATAGAAGTTTAATTATTTCTTAATAGGTTAGATAAATGGAAATTTCGAATTATGATTAAATATTTTCTATCTACAAATTGTTTATTAAAAAGAAACTTTTATTACATTTGTTTGCTCAATTGCAGAAAGGGGTCGGGGGCGTCGACGTTGAGGTGGTTTTCGATATAAGCAAATTGACTCAGCTGAGTTGAAGTCATTATTGTCATCTTTTATATACTTCGTAATATTTCGATTGATGACGTTGTTATCATTATTATTATTATTGATATTGCTATTTGCATAATGTGGAAAGAATTCTTCGGATAAACTGTTAAAACGTACCAAAACACACGCGTCAGTCTTATTGCACGCAAATATATGTGTCCAACGTTTTTTACCGCCACAATTGGCCATAACCGGAGCCAATAATACGGCACTTATTAAAAATATATAAATAAAAAACCTGATGGTCACCAATTTTTCTTTGATTATGAAATATACTAGTTTTAGTTGATTTCGTTTAATATTTAAAAACAATTTATTTTGTTTTTCACATTTAAAATAATACTATTTTTTTATAAATAAATTCAGTTTCGTATTTGCTTAAGTCAACAGCTGACGCGGCGCTGCATTGCTCGCAACAAGTCGCGCAATGTTTTGTGAAAGAAAGCCCGAACACAAGACATTAATGAATAAGTGACAAAACAAAAGATACTCACATACAAAATAAAACAAAGACTCTTGAAAACTGTTAAGGAAAAGAGAGTAAACATACGTAATTTAAAGTAACTAAGACCTGTCGTCGAATGACTCAGCAGCGGTTGCAGTGACTTTTGTTGTGCCCTACATAAGCATACTTCTTATGATTATGTGAATGAGTTATTATTGTTGCTACGACAACAATAATTGCAAATAAAACATAAATAAAAATTAATTAAATTAATATATACTAGTAATTGTTTTAATAATCATATTTTAGTTAGTTTTATTTTTAAACGGGATAATTGGTCAATGTTAAATAAAACACAACTCTTTAAATTAGTTTTAAAACAAATATATTGTTGTAATTGATTATAGTGAGAACTATATAAAGTTGTATATTATTTCACGTTGGCCAATAAGTTCATTTAAAAATATATATAATTATATATATTGATGGTTGGCGACTTGTGACTTAATATAATAAGCCTAGTTTTTATATTATACTAGTATAATATGTATATATTTTTTAAGCCTTCATTATTGTTTTTATAAATAAGTGCTTTTATTGTTAGAATTTTTATATTTCAACAAGTTATATTTTGTAGTTATTATATATTATACTAATCTAATATGTAAATGTTTTTCAAGCCTTCGTTATTGGTTTCATTAATAAGTGCTTTGGTGGCAGTATTTTAGTATTTCAAGAAGTTATATTTTATAACTAAAGAATACTATCTTTAATTAGGTTTTATCAAAGTACTATTGAAAACAAAATCTTTGATGATATCTTTAATATGTTATTATTAAATTATTAATTTATCGTATTGGAACTTACATAGAGCAATTATAAATACAGTAAGTATGATATTTATATTTAAATATACAATGTATTTGCTTGGGATATTATACTAGGATTTATAACATATAAGTTGGCCATCGTGCTTTTGTAAGAAGACATTGGGAGTCATAACGAATATTATGTCAAAGTACTATTGTGGATGAAATGTTGGATATTGTCTCTATTATATATGTACATATGTATTTTGACATATATCTAAAGCAGAAGAAAAGGAATTCATTGTTGAGTTTTTATTAAAAGTTTATAGTTAAGTTAGACATGACTATATAATATATATCATATATTTTGTATAAATCTCCAATGAAATCAAATTTAATAGGATATACTCGAGAACAGATTGTGGATGACAGGTGCATGAATAAATATATATTAAGATGTACTGAACTAATAATTTATATTTTTATAACTTCTATAACTATATGCGATATATTAAACTATTAACATATCTTATAGTATTAGAAACTCTCTTCTATTTTATAGTGTAGTGTACGGATATAAAGAGTATTTGAAAATAAAATTATACACTTATCACTTAAAAAAAGTTAATATTGTGGTGACATTGAATGCTATTATAGTCACTTTTAAAATAACTTTTCGTGTACGTCCATGACGGCGGTGTGTTGGAATTTTCTTATCAGTCAAGTTAAGGTAAAGCAAATACGTATGATAACTGCTAATATTAAATATACGTCTAATTTAAAAAGTAGATTTTATTCATGCAACCGTCTTTTTTATTTGGAGAGAAAACAAACTCTACTATTAAAATATTTCATTTTATTTCCAGATTAAATAAAACGTGTTAAGTGTCTTTTACTTAAGTGCTTTAAAAATTATTTACTTTTAGTGTATCTAGATTTAATTAAATCTCTTGCTACTTAATGAAAAAATTAATTGAAATGCAAGAAAAATATATAATAATGAATAATATTTTACTAAAATTTGTCATATACACAATATGTATTCGAAAATAAACCAGACTTTTTCTAAAAATAGTTATTTGGAATAAGAGCAATAAGTTGCGTCACTAAGGGTAATCTTTCACAGATTTCTATTAAAGTTTCATGATATTTAGGTTTATAGAAGCGGGGTTCTTTCAGTGCGATTTTAAGTACTAAACTTTAGAATGGTTATAGCGTCAACAAAAATTTTCATTGAAAAATACATTTTTCGGAAAAGCTAAGACTTTCACGATTTTTAACTAAAAAATATTTTAGAAGTATCTACCGACTAATTTTGAATATTTACAATTTTGTTTAGTGCAGCGTAAATTATATGACAAAGTTTTGTATTTTCAACTCAAAATACATAAGTAATATCGGAACCATATAACTTACATCACAGTGACTACCACAGCTTACATAGTCAAAATTAAGTCAACGAACGTAGCCTCAGGTAACCCTTTGATTACCCAGTGTTCAGCGTTTATTGGAGGTGAAAAAATTGAGCATTAGAATATTGAATGTGTGTTTGGATAGAATCTCTTGTCAGATAAAGTACTATTTTACCAATATTTGATTTAAACCGAAAAGAAAAGTTGATAAAGTCATTAGAAATTATGTATAATTACACACAGAGTCAGAAAGTTTCCTTTATTATTCGCAAAATTGACATAAAAACAACATTTATTATAATTAATTTAAGAATAATTTGTAAGTTTGCAAATGTAACGAGTTAGTTTGTTGAATGAATTTTGACAAAAATCGACTTTACCTATGATTTGGCTAAACTAGCACCTATAATAAAATGAAAACGCTCATATATCTCGGAAAAACATTATAAATATTTTTTATTAATTAAAAAATTCAAATATTAAAGAATCTATGATTGTAATTAATTTATTAATTTCAAAAAATTAGGCTAAGGTTAGTTCAGAGTGGTGGCCTTGTGTCCAAGAAAGCCTACTTAAGCTCAAATAGTGACCCGTACATAGATTAGATAGTTAGTATACGATCAACGCGGAAAGGCAACGACTTCTCCATTAGATAAAGACTGTAATGTGATATGGGTATAAGACCACACATATCACAAGACAGAGAGTTAAAAGAGTTATTACAAGAGAAACCAGCGTGACAGTTCTATGAACTTGGCTAAGACCCTAATTTTGCAAGATGACAGCTCTGTCAGGTTGGTAAAAAATTGGAGCCTAAGATTTTTGATCTCCTTCTAACTTAATGATGGGCACTGTACATAAGATGGAGTTGAGTTTCCTGTTCATGGTCAAAGCCATAACCGCAACAAAAGTTATTATAAGGTAGTCCCAGTTTCATTGCACACCTACCCATTATGCAGTGGCCCGTCAGCATCGATACCGTAATGTTGAGCAGATTCTGCCTTAGTTGAAATTGTTGATTGGTACGTTTTTTGTCCAATTTAGGTTAGGTAAACCCAGAGATCTGGCAGCAGAATTCGTCTGCCCAGTTTTGCTTAAATATGCTCAGTTAGCACTATTTAATTGTCAGTTTAGTTGTTGTAAGTCGCACACCAACATCTAAGAAGTGAATGTCAGGGAGAAGACCGACCGCCTGTATTGGCAAGAGATATTCCTATGTCCAGGGACCTATATAGGTTGGATTCATAAGTGTTAGAATTATGTCCACGAATCAAAAAGCCTAATGTTTTCGATATTGGAAGAGGTTTTTATTAATAATTTTGTTATTTAATCTGTTGTACTCATATTTATAGGATCTATACTACAGGATCTTTTCCTAACGTAGAAGAAAATTCTAAACATTTTTAAAAACTCTGATTAATAATATTTTTAATAATTATATTCGAATTATATTATTATCAGACTAAAAGTTAAGGGATTTTTAAAAATAATAAGGCCTTTTTTTCTGTTGAATGGAACCTTTCTCAAAGTGACTTAACATAATGTTTTCAGTAAATACTTTTAAGTAGCAATAAAATTTTTACAAATCAACATTCAAAGTTTTAATAAGAAAATAAAACTTAAAGTGAAATTCTTCTTTCATAATATTTTGGTAGTGGCAGGAATAACATTGAAAGAAATGCAGTTTAAAATGCAAAACTTGTGTTTTCCATGTGCCGGGGCAATTCGAAATGCAAAGATCTGAAGCACGTTCTTTGTTAACTTCTGACAAGATGAAAAGTTAGGAATACTGCCTTTTTGAAAACATATCACAAGCGCATTTAAATTTCAAAAAGTTACTTGACGATTTAAATGAATTTTTGAGAAGACTTAAAATGTTGCTCATACGGCAGGTCGAAAGCGTAGTGAAAAAAATAATGAAAAAATAAAAATTTATTTAAAAATGATTGAATAAAAGAAAATTTCAAGTACAAAGAGGCATCAGAATGTTGTATTTCTTACAATAGCGTATTATTGGATTTTCAAATAATATTAAATAATAAAATAAAAATGAATCAGAGTCTA